TAGCCTGTCTACCTTTCGCTGAGCAGTGATGCGAGCTGAGTAATTATAGGCCCGGCCCTAACGGCTCCCGTGTGCGTCTGTCCCGTTGCTTGATGTCAGAGCTCAGCACTGTCAGACCGTTCTTGTAAGGGATTAGTACACACGAATCTCTGTGGAGTTTGTAACGGCAGCGGCCGTATATTTAGCTTGATATGGTATTTGCGGATGCGATTCCAGTCTTCGCCGAGCATTCACTCGTAGCTGCCGTGACACGGCAGGGAGCTACAATCGAACAGCAGTAGAGGCTCACCAGCTACAATCGAAAAGCACGCCAGCATCATTTCGTCCTTTCCATAATAAGGATCCTCTCTCCTTTCGATCGTTGGTAAATGTCAGCGGAATAAACTCAGAGCCCAGAAAGGTACATCAGTGCTGTGATTTGCGGAGAACCAGGAATCGAGCCGGGGATGCTTGCTGTGATCGGGGGGGAACCCAACCACGAACTGGTAGCTATGCCCAGTCATTTGTTTCTGCGTTGTCACGAGAGCAGGAGTAAGGAGAGAGTACAAGATACCATCCGTCGCCGCCAGGCCTCCGGTTCTTCTTGTTTCTTCTTCTCCGTCATCGTTGGAATTGTCGTTCATTGCTGCCATCGGCACCACACTCCTTTGAGAAGAATAGCATTCCTCGACGAGAGCCATATCAATCATTACCATCATCGCCACCATCATCGTACCCACCACCACTCGAGCAATCTCTGACAGCGACAATGCAATTCAAGAACCTAGCTCTCACCCTTGCCGTCCTTCTGGGCACCAGCTACGCAGCACCAGTTGCAAAGGCGGAGGTTATATCCTTCTAACTCTCTTCCGCCTTGATAATCTACTGACGTCGACGATAGCACTCTCTCGTCCGCCGAGACCCGTTCCTGGGGGCCCTCTTCGGCCCACCACCAGGTGCCGCCGCCAGCGCAAAATCTCTATCCGTCACGCAGTGTGACTCATCGGGCGCTTGCCAATCAGTTGGTGGTGATACACCATCTGGCAATTCCCCTCTGGATCTGAACATTGGTTAGACCCTGATGATGAAGACTTGTCTCGTCAAGGAACGTGGAGAAGGGACGAGAGTTGGAGAGATTATGCTTAGCTGTAATAACAATCGAATGAATCTGTGTCTGCGTGTGTTATGTCTTTCTTTCTGTTATCTTGTCTTGCTCTTCTACTCCTGTCCTCCCCTGCCTCAACGGCACACCTAATGTATTGTCATTTTGGGAGAGCGGTGACGGATGGAGTGTGCGAGGGCGGTGCGTTCTAGTATGCAATGTCAGCAACGTTGTTCTGCAGTTTCCAAGATGGTGCCGTTGTGCAAGGGAAACCGGGTGTCGGGGGTCAGATATCTGATTGAGGTATTATGCATCACTTTCTTCACCGGGCTGCAGGTATACCTGCTACCTCAAATGAAGTACGCAGCTCTCTTTGAGTCATCACTCGGTGGAGGAGGAAGACATCCTTGAAGCTTACCTGGTGGGAGTACGCGCTCGGATGCCTGCGCGAAGATGGGGGGTCTCGTTCCTGAATTCAACCCGTCAGTGAAGATATTCGAGACGGAAGTTTTGTGTTGATAATGATTAGAGCGTGATCTTCAGTATGTTTGCTGCTTTGACTCTTGGCGCCTCACTATCCTCGAGGGGCTGCAGGTAGACCTGCGACCGCAATCGAGGTCGGCAGTCGGTTCTCATCACGGGAAACGATGTAGTAATCAGGGGGTAGGTGTGACTTGCCTGGTTGAGACTCTCGTTGATATTGTGTCTTCGAGCCTTGAGAGTTCGTATCTGGAATACCAAAGTGTCAGTGCCATGTCCACATCCATATAGTCTCGATCAAGGCGAAAGTTGCTCCTCGTATTCAGATCTTTTCAGTTTTGTTTTGTGCCTCACTCTCTTCAAAGGGTTTGCAGGTAAACCTGTAACCACGATGAAGTCGGCGCTTTTGTATTGTGATGTGCATCATCGAAGGAGAGGGTAGCTGCGAAGAGGGGACACTTGCCTTGGGTTACGCACTCGAGGAGCTCACTCTGGACATCCTTGAGCTTCGACAAAAGGCGACATCGCTTGTCGACGGCGGCATTTGGGCAGCGTGCGCGGAATGCAAGGAGAACGTTGGTGGTGACATGTAGAATAGCCGCATCGGTGGACGCAGGATCTGCCTTCTGCGCGAAGAACAGATGATGGATGATAGACGCGAGCTCCTTCACGCTGCGCTGCCGACAAGTCCGGCAGCAGTATCACGGCCGTTGGATCCGTTCGGTGCCGTGATCGGGCTCAGACGTGCCACTGTGGTGATGTCAGCGGTATTCGATGGATGCAAGAGGAGGAGAAGGATGAAATACCTGTTGGTGTAACACCTCTTGCTATTGTCTGCGATAGTGGTGTCAGCGTGTTGTTCCTGTACGGGGCGGCGCGCGACTTACAGCATGAATACAGTTACCTGGTTGATTCTGCGAGTACTCTCATATTTGTCTTCATGATGGCCAAGGTGGCTTCATGATGGCGGGTGATGGCGCCGGTGATGTTTGTTGGTGATGGAAGTTTGTTGTTGGTGGAAGGAAGATGTAAACAACGAGATTGAAATTTAAGCGAGACGCGTGTGCGGTTCACTCCAGCGGCGACGTAATCGTGACATGTGACTTCTGCCAAGACCTCCGCCTAGCGTCGATGAGAAGATCCGAGTGTACAACATTCACCACCAACACACGACAACAATCATGAGATGAGGCGGCAACAACATTGGTAACAACTATTGTGCCGTTAGACAGCCTATCAGTTGTGGCGGTGGTGAGGCCCTTACGCTGACACAAGCCTAGACTTCTCGATGCAATATGCCACTGTATCTTTCCTCGCCAACATCGGTCAGCTCTCAAACTGCTATCAATGTATGTTCTGCTCACCGCGGGGCCGTTTTACCCATCTCAGGGCTGTCTTGCTCATTGCAGGGCCATCTTGCCTTCTCCCGTCGATTCGAACCTCCAGTCTCGCCATGCGTGGCTTCGGAGCTGGTCTCCTTACACGCCGCGTCCGGGAGCACGTCTATCCACCGAAGCCGAAGATGAGCGGGTGCCAAGAAGTGTCGATTGGCACCACCAGCTCCTATCCGTGTCCAGCTGAAGAGGAAAGGAAAAGATCCCACGTCGTATGTGCCAAATAAGAGCAGGGGAAAGGCGGTGTTCGTCCCGCGGTAAGCGCAAGACCTCCTTTCGGCGGCTGCTGTGCAGCTGTTCACACCAGTCCGAGAGGCACAGGAGATGTCTGCAATATTCTTCTGCGGAGCTTGTAAGAGTATTGGACCGGGACAATTTCATCACCGCTTTGGTGGATGGATTTCCTTCCAAGAGTAGATCCAGCGGGCTTGGCGTTGAGGTCTTGATGGAAGCAGGATTTGTTTTGTCCTCTCCAGCATGCCCTTCTGCATCCTGAGTTGTGTTTTGCGAAAAATAAAGAGAGGCTTCTGAAGGGAGCTACTTGCCTTTCCACTGGGCACTCTGCGTAAAAGGCATGCCCCGACTTCAAAATCTTCCAAGACGCCTCGCACGGAAATCGAAATGATCTCGGCCTATGGTGCTGCTCAGCCTTTCTTGTGCCGTGACAGCGCAGAGTCGCTGTCCCAGACAATCCGAGACTTCCAGCACAATTATCTCCGCGGATGACAGCGCTTCAACGACCCAAGTGCAGTGCCGAATTCCGCTCGTTGCGGTTGCAATATGACATTCACTCCTGGTCGGTAGGCATGATGCCGCTGCGGTGTAGTGACTTTTGCAGATGAAAATCTTGGCGGTCAACAGTAAGCCACAAGGGCCTTCAACCTGGAACCTAGATTGGACAACGCACATTTTCCGAGGGGGTAAATGGCTCGTCTCAGGCGCTCTGCCGTATCCGTATTGACCTTCACGGGACTCGATTGCCAACCAACAGGATTAAGCGGAAACATCCGAGGAGGGTGGCTTGCACGAAGAGATCCTCTGCGCCTGTTCCGCCTGAAATAGAACGCAAAGGCCTCGACTCATGAGCGTCAGGCGAGGACGACTGATGTACCCACCAGCCCGAGTCCCCACGTGGAGAGGCCCGATCAAGCACGACACGTCGAGCTAGGGTGCTGACCTGACGCGGCCAAGCTATTTCTCCGAGCCTCTCGACATGCGGCCAAGACAGACCTCTTTGGAATGCGAAGAAACGGACCGCTGTGCCGATATCCGATCCATGAGTATAAACGAAAACGTGCACACAGAGAAGAGTCAAGAAGAGGAGACAACGCATCTTCCAGGACAGGTTTTGTGGTTACTTATCCCCAGCAACGGAAGGCCGCCTCCGCCAAACTCCGATACCACCATTGTGGGTCCAGATTCTACTGACTTTCTCGCTGGCGCAGGGGGTTCTGCCTCAACTCCAATATACGTGCGTCTGACAAGGTCCAGGTCAAATTTATCCGTCCACTGTACACAGTAATCTTCCGGTGTAGAAGCCGCGATACCAGTGCAGCGGCTTTCTTGATCACCTCTTCGGCCTACCTCTCTTCTCCGAGGAGACGGTATCTGAAGTCTTCTGACGGCGAGTCTCGCCCCTTTAGTCGGGATTATCGCATTTGGGGTTCGTTTCATCTAACAAAAGCAAGGAAAAACGATCAGGGTCTGCTCCACAGAGATGCCTGTCACACCCCAACAGCCGGAGGGACCCTAGACCGGCTCCTTCGGACAACGTGCAAAACCTTCTTTTGACTTCAACTCATAAGCAACGCATCCCTCAAGGGTGTAGTTGTGAGAATTGGCAGTGGATTGCAGGAATGGGATCAACCCGACCTCTTCCTACGTTTCATGCGCCATCCGTCATCCGTCTTGGTGCCACATGAAATGATCCGCATCACGCATCTCACCACGAATCAGCCAGCGCGAGACAAATAAATATGTGCTCGCTCCGCAGTCGGGAAGATCTTCGCTCCTCTCTCGGCATGCCGCCATATGCTTTTAACACCATGTCCGAGAAAGTCGAAACCCTACGAGTCGATAACGTCCGATCAGACAAGACTTTGCGAAATGGAGTCGAAACGTATGGGAGCGAAAATGCGGTTATGAGTTATGGACAGAAAGGGTTGAATGATGCGAGTCTACCGGATTACCAAGATGCGGAGGTGAAGAAGATCATTAGGAAAGTGGATTGGAGATTACCGCCCGTCCTGTGTTTGTTGTACCTGGTGAGCTATTTGGACCGCTCGAATAGTGAGTACATGCAACTGGCCTGGACAGCGCATCGAAGAATTTGCTACTGATTTGATTCCAATGCGCAGTCGGAAACGCCAAAATCGCCGGCATGACACACGACCTCCACATGACCGGAACGCAATACAACATCGCCCTGACCTGCTTCTTCTTCCCCTACGCCCTGTTCATGGTCCCCTCGAACATGGTTCTGAAAGTCGTGAAGCCTTCGCTCTGGATGGCTTTTCTGATGATCTGCTGGGGGACGGTCATGACCATGCATGGATTGGTGAAGACGTGGGGACAACTTTGCGCTTGCAGGGCACTTCTAGGACTCTGCGAGACGGGCTTCTTCCCCGCAGCGAGTTACTTGCTGACGACGTGGTATTGTGTGAGTACTGCGGTGACATGGGAAGGGTCAGAAAATGGAGAGCTGATCAAATTCATAGCGATTCGAATATCAGACGCGAGTTGCGTGGTTCTTCAGCTCGGCGACGCTGGCTGGGGCTTTCTCTGGGCTGCTCGCATACGGAATTGAGCATATGGATGGAGTCGGAGGTGAAGCGGGATGGAGATGGATGTAAGAGTTCGAGATCGACCACGCGACCAATCTCTCATACTGACCATCTTCGACAGTTTCTACGTCGAAGGATCGGCCACGGTCGTAATTGGCTGTGTCATCTACTTCATCCTCCCCAACTCTCCCCGAGAGGCAAAATGGCTCACAGAAGCCGAAGCAGAAACCATCGAGCGCCGCCTGAAGGAAGATGCGGGAACGAAAGATGGCCAGGTGGATAACCACGACGGGTTCCAACGCTCATCTCTCATCCAAACACTGGGTGACTGGAAACTCTGGGTCTGGTCCATTGCGGTTTGCGGAGACAGTATTCCTAACTACGCTTTTGGATTCATGGCGCCGACGATCATTAAAGGACTGGGATACCAGACATGGAGAGCGCAGCTTCTGTGTGTGCCGATTTATGTGACGGCTTTTATTGCTACCATCGTGGTTGCGCTCTGGAGTGATCGGAGACAAAACCGATGGCCATCTGTCTTCTTCCCGTACAGCGTGGCGGCTATTGGGTTTGTCGCACTGTTGGCGATCCCGCATCCGAAGCTGCCAGGACTCACATATGCGTTTCTGTTCCTGGTACCGGTTGGATGTTAGTCCTCCCTCCCTCCTTCTTCCGTCTCCTCGTGGTAGCTAACATTTACTCGTAGTATCATCCGGGCACACTGGTCTACACGCCTGGATCGCAAATAATCTCGCTCCCTCCTGGCGGCGCGCAATCGGAATGGCATTGGTCCCTTGTATCGGCAACCTCGGCGGCGCAATCGGATCGAACATCTATCTGGAGCGACAAGCGCCGCGATACTGGCTGGGCTTCGGCTTCAGTTTGGGCGTCTTGATCGCCGCTCTGTTTGCCATTCTCTTCATGAAGCAGCAGTTGGAGCGAGTGAATAGACAGAGGGAGAAACTTACGCCGGAAGATGTCAGAGCGCGATACACGGAGGAGCAGCTGTTGAATATGGGCGACCGAAGCCCGTTATACCGATACGTTATCTAGATAAGGCGACTACTCTTTCAGTGCATGGCGAAGGCAGGGGCATACGCACATAGAGACGAGTTTACGGCATCATAGGAAACGTTCTTCTGGCTTTTTCAACGCTTGCCATTGCTCTCAATGGGCTTTGTTGATTGCAATGTGGATGGTATGATGTGCTGGTTTGTAACGTTTCTTCTCGCATCCACCGCGAGTCCAGACTGCGTGGAGAAATCAGTGCCAGAATCGTACGCTATCCAGTACGAACAATACTCACCTTTCTCTCTCGAGGTCACTTGCTCCCGCGACGGTCCAGGCTCATCTCATTCCACAGGGCACGACAACCTGGGCTGCGTTGTCTCTCCACGTGCAACACCCAGTCCTGCCAATTAGTTCAACGAACACATCCAGGGTCGCTGTCAATCTGGACTGACAGCCAGCTGACCCTCGTGCGTAGCGAACTCTCTTTGATGATCCTCCCAGCATCGAGCCAAACAGCCTGCTGCGGGGAGAATGCATATCATCACGAGGGCATTTAATGCGGACGACCACGCCGTTCTCCTGGTCGTCTTCGTGGCTCGTTGCAGAATAAACCAACCTCGACGATGAAATCCTCTCTCCTCGCTGTCTTGATCGCAACGATTGGTGTGGTGGCTGCTGCGCCTAATGCGAAAGACATTCATGTCTGTCTCCAATGCCCCAGAATGGCGATGCTGCTGCTGACAGCTATGCAGATCCTGAAAGACGTCTCCGGTACATACAAGCAACCCAAACCCCGCGATGGTCTGGAGTACATGGACGGCGGAAGAAAGCAGAAGAGAAAGCCTCCGCAGTCACGTCGTTGGTCGTTCATGGATGGCGCTGATGAGAACTCGCTGGAGGGAATGTGTATGGCCACGATGTGCTTTGGTCCGTAGAGAAGAAGGATGGAGAGTTGCGCAGAATGACAGGATGGCAAATGCTCGGCAATGAGCATGTAATGGAGACGGAACGGTGACTTGTTGCCCAATGGATTGAGATTGGTGATATGAGTCTTCATACACGTTCATTGTATGGAGCTTCGGAAACGAGTGTTCATACCGCAGTATCTAGACACCTGATCTGCTTTCTCTTCACTTCCGAAAGACATAGTGTCCTTAACCACGATCATGACCACTTTCCTCTCGCACCAAGAAAAAGCACATTTTTGATCCTGTCATTTATAACGAAGCAAGACGATTGACCGAGCAAGTCGACGATCAGCCTTTGAGACAATGGCATTCTTCGGGACTATGTCTCACTCTGGAATGCAACTGAAGAATGTGGTTCTTTGTCACACTTCCATATCGTCCCACGACATGCTGGCGTCGCTGGAATTTGAGACATTGACCATTCTGTCCACGTTGCTTAGAAAGACATAATGGCAAACGCAGACAAGACCGTCACTATCTAGACGCAATCTGCAGCCAGCATAGCAGAGGTCGATGCTCGTGACTATGCGACAAAAGCAGTCTTGCTACTACCAGAGAGTGCCCTCCGTCTGTATCGACACCCTGTACTATAGGTGGTACTGTTGGACTCTAAGAAGGCGATTTCGCCTTCGAGATGCAGCAGTCTGAAATGTCCATGAAATTAATATGGACGAGTTGGACCGTGGAGCAGGTGAGATAGTAACAGAGAAAGTCAAGTGCGCACGTACAAGTGTCTGAAGAGCAACCCATTCCAATTCCTCTATTCTACGATTCCCAAGTTCCAAGTCTCAAGTCCCAAGTGTCCATGCTCTATCTCTCAAGCGATCATGGGCTCTCAATCGCCCCAGATGCGTTTCATACTGCTGAAGTCGACTACGGTGGAGAACATATTGTTGAAGTCGGCTACGTTCTCCACCGTAGTCATTTCCCAGTTCCATCCTCCCCATGCGATTGGAAACAGCCTACTGAGCCGTCTTCTGCCGCCCTTGGCGATGAAACCCTGCGTCTTCCTGCTAGCTAGCGCTCATGCGGCCTCTCGAGCCTGCCGAGCATCGTACGCAGCTTTGGCAGCATCCTGACGCTTCTTGTTTGCGGCGTGATGAGCAGTGCGACCCTGCAGCTCTTCCAGAACACCGAACTCCTTGGCAGCGTTCTCGATCTCCTCGATTTCTGGCGATGCCTTGCCGGAGCCATTGAGGTACGCGGTCTGATGTACTGCGGTCTTCAGGAGGTCGTTCTTGGAGAGTTGCAACCACTCGAACAGCATGCGGAACTCGTCTGCGGTGAGGGCGCCCATGTGGATGTATTCGTAGATTTTGTCGTGGAAGTCGGTGCCCTTGACAGGGACAGGAATGCCGAAGGCGTAGGAAGTGGCGAAGACCTTCACGATGTCTGGAAACTCCGGCTCGCCCTTCGCGTCTTTCTTGCCCAGCGGCGTCTTGAGATCCTTGACCAGCATTTGTTGGCCGTCTGCGTCGATTGCCTTCTTGAGATCGTAGCGGTTCATCCAAGCCAGGATCCACTTCGAGGCGTCGCGGTCGAATTCGGACTCGTCGAGAACGACCGTCTTGCCGGACGAGCCGCGGAGGTTCTTGCAGACACGCGGGCTGAGTTGGTTGATCTTGTGGAGCTCAACTTTTCCGACCTCGTGAAGCTGACCATCGGTGGTTCGGGTGTAGACGGTGACTACCTGGGGCGCCATTTGTGCGGTAGAGCGTAGGGGGTTTGGTGGTGTTGTACGTGTCTTTGGTTGACGCCGGGTTTTTGTTGTTGATTGCAGATTTTTGGGAAACCTGAAGTTGTGAGAATTTTACCGTGGTGGTAGATGGAATTGTTGTGGGTTGTCTGAAGATGATCAGGTCGAGAAGAGGAAATCGAGTGAGCTTATATGGGAAATCCAAAGGCGCGTATACGCGTGAAGGGCCGGTAACATCCGCAGCAGGTGAAGGATCAAACGCATTGTTGCCCGCATTCACCATGCTCGGTGACTGTTACAATAGGATTGTGCGTCGTAGCCGCAATGCTCAACAACGCTATTGTGCTGTGACACCGCAACGAAGACACCATCCACCTCGAGTCCGCATAGCTGAGAACTCGATTCTGCGGTCGCTGTGTGTAGACAATACATACAAGACCCAAGTAATAGATAGGATAGCGAGAGCTGAATCTCCAACAGTGCAGCGAGTTGAGCAAATGGTCCTCAAGTACTTACAAGTTTTGTTTGCTTCCCGTTTGCTGATTCCCTAGGCTCCTTTGTCTCTTGAGGCTTCCCCAGACAATCCACATTTGAAGTTTCTACGTACATCCAGCCCACAATGGTGGCCTCGTTTGTTTCTTTTTTGCAACTGGATCAGTGCCCTGAAAGTTCCAAATCCAAATTCCTCATAGTTCTCATAGCAGGTTTGGATAACGAGAGACAGGTCTCGATCGCGAATTTTCGTACGACTCAGAGTGTACACCGAGGCTATCTGTTTTTCTACTTGTGATCTCAACGCTCTCGTTGCCTGGCTGTCTCGTCAAGGCTCACCTGACAGACCCGAGGAGTTGTTCATGAGAGACCTTCTCATCCGCCCACTTCCTTCTATTGTTTCGTTTCCCTCCATGGTAGTAGTCGAAGGTCCTGGATGAAGGCTCTTGCGAATGCTCTCATCTCCCATCACCCTCGGTAGGTGTGCGCGGGCTTGTTCGCTAACCAATTGCTTCTTTTCATCAATGGTCCAGATGTGGCTGGTGCTTGGAGAGAATCATGTTTCGGCTTCTATCATGTGGGAATTGCAACTTGTTGATGACTGGTTTACAAAGCCGCTTGACTCCCTGACCCTTGCCCGTGTCGTTGATGTTGCTCGATGCTGCTCAATGCTGCTTATCGTTGTCTGTGTCTCTCGATGCTCTTCCTTGTGGCTCTAGCGCAGACTACTCTCGCGTCTCCTTTCGTTGAACGTCAGGCTGGCCCTCCAGTGCCCACTGGTAGAGGTAGACGTCAGATCTCTGAGGAGCCATATCGCAAGCCATCCAGAGTGTCAAGACAACCATGGCCGAGGAAAAGGTTGGGTACAGATATACGCCTAAAGACCGACAGGGAAGCAGATTATGACCAGAGTTCTTTTTTGCTGGATCTCCACAACAGCTGCAGAGTCGAACACGATGGAATCCGAAGTGACGTTTCCGAACTCAGTCCTTATTGTGCATCCCCTTCGAGCATTGAGGTTGCTGAGAACGGACCAACTGCGCAGTGCGGGAAAACGGTGTGAGTGTTCCTGTGAATGCTCACTGTATTCGAATGTCGACCAGTGCTTCAAAACACGAATACAGACTTGTTAATTGAATGCAATTGTAAATTTGATGTACTGCCGCCACTCGGCCCTGAATAGCCGGTTGTCATTGGCAACAAGCGGCACCAGCCGCAGCCGCCAAGAAGGAGCAGCACACTTCAACTTCACTTCACGCTTCTCCTTTCTTTTACCAACAATCAACAACGAACACCTCAACCTCCGCCGTCAAGGAAGGCCCCTCTTGGCGTGAACCATCTCCCCGAGCTTCCTAGCCGTGAAGGGATCATTGTGTAGTAATTTGATCTTCTCAGGTCTCAGCATCCGCTGAGGGAATCAGCCCATACCGCGCGTATGGACTCATTCCGCCAAACAGGTCTTCTCTCGAAGATCTGACACGGGATTTCTCGTAGCCATGAGACATTCTCGGCGTACTCTAAGTCGGAGCGTTGAGGGTTCGCAGAACAAAACTCCACCGACTTGGCTTTTCAAGGACCAAGACTTTTCTTGCGAGTGGGAGGCGGCGCCTGCTTGGAGACGAGCGCATTCGGTGCTGTCGCCAGTTACGGATCCTGGAGCGCTCTTGAGATTGTGGGCGTGTGAGGGAGATGTGTTGGCTACATTTTTGCGTTTGATGGATACTTGTTTTGATGTACCAAGAGATTGCACGGCTTTTCTCAAACATTTCACGCCTTATCCGACAACCTCTCCGGTCCTGCTGCCTGCAACATCGAAGATAGTCAGACACAAGACATCGCAGGCCTGTTCAAAGGCGTTACGCCACATCATCAAAACAATGAAGAGAAAGGACAGATTGGTTCGAATGGCGAAGTCAGGGGCAATATGGTGCGTTTGCTTACTTGGCGGCTTGTCCAGCCTCGCTTCTGATTCTACTAACAACTTGGAGCCGGCAGCTCTGGCCTCCTCTCAGCGAGGATCACTGAACCGAAACCAAGTTCAGAGCGCTACTTTTCGTCTGTTCGCTTGCAGGTCGCGCACTTCTCCGGCACACACATCGCCACCTTTCGTGCCTCCTTCGCGCCAGGCTCTCCTTTGTTGCCCGGGTCGTACAAGCTGTCGTCGAAAACCACGCTTCCCATTCTAATCTCCTCGCAGTTCGAAGCATTCGTCCAAGCACCTGTTGGCTCGAACACCCGTCCTTCCGCCCCTTCCAACGTGTCCCGTCGAGAATGTACGAACGGTCGACCACGATCATCGCCTTCCGCCCTGTACGGCCAACTTCCCTCGTCTCTGGTCCTCGTGTTCCACTCCGATCGCTCAGCGGCACGACGATTCGCATTCGTGCCGAGAAACTTGGGCGTGTTGCAGTACTCGCATCTGTGAGAGCAGATCATCACGTCGAAGAGGCCGATTCTGTCACACTGGGCGCGGATGACGGGACCTCCGTACTGGTAGAGGATGCAGTCGCGCGGAATCGGGCCCACGCCACGCGTGGCATCGTAGTATGGGTTGACGACGTTGATGTCGCCACGGAGATCTTTGCGGTGGATCATTTGGAGGGGATGATCGTCATCGGGAGGCACGCGAAGGTCGGAAGTTCGCAGGCCACGCGTTTTGGATGCAGCAAGACGCTCGAGTTGGGATTGTTGACCTGAGGGACGTTGCTCGTCACTTTTTCGTGCCGTGATCGCAGCTGATATGCTTTCCCCTGATTCGGCTCCTCCTGGTCTACTTTCTCCTTGGCGGCTTCTTCTTTTGCTGCTTGCATGCAGACGGGACATTCCTCGGCCTTGCAAAGCAGTGCGTCGCGGGCTGAGACTTGTCCCACCTGGCCATTGGGTTGATAGTATCTGTCGTCGAAGAGGACGTTGCCAGCCACAGTATTCTTTGGAGGAGGGCCAATCCAGCCTTGTGGCCTGAACAGCATGACACCCCCAATCAGCTTGCAGTCTCGACCACGATGCACAAACGGCAGATTGTAGAAGCCGCTTTTCTCAGGTTCGATCTGGCTGTTGCTCTCTGCGGCGCGAGCCATGGCCGTGCGCTGCTTCAGATCGGCTGGTCGCCGTTTCCTACTGCAGAAGGTGCAGTCTGAGACGACGCAGACGATCACATCGAAGGTCTTGTCTTCGATATGGAGCTGAGCAACTGGTCCTCCGAGTTGATATAGCTTGCTGTCTTCTGCAACCGGACCGACGCTGCGGGATGTATCGAGGGTTGGTTTGCCTTCGGTGAGGAAGATCTCGCAGAAATGAACCATGCGTAGAAGACGGGTATCCTTCGCGACCTCCATGGGCATATCTTTCAAAGTACCACGAGGACCTTCCTCTTTTCCCGGCTCTTCCTTCTTCTCACCACCACGGCGGGCTGTGCTGCTGCGAAGCTGGCGCTTGTTCTCGCCCGACTGATCGTCTTTGGGAGCGTTACTACGGGTGATTCGGGATGATGGTGCCGGAGTAGAATTGTTGTTGCCTCCCGCAGGGCGGCCTCGAACTGGAACGTAGGAGACGTGATTGCCAAGAGCGATCGGCTGGTTCACCTGTCCAGTCACGAAGTTGGTAGCCCCGCTGCGAGCAGCGTGAGTCTGAATGGCTCGCATACTTGCCACTCGAGTCCGCTGCGCCGGGTCTGGGGACGCTGTGTCGATGTCGTTCCACATCTCAATCTGTCTGCCAGGGGCATTGCGCTGCTTCCACTACATGATTTGTCAGTATTGAACGTTGCTGCGCGCGGAAGAGAACACTCACCTGGTCTTGCAGGTCTTGTGGCTGGTACCTACGACCCGCACTCCGTAGTTGGTGATCGAAGATGCGGTAGAAGATGTCGTGCCGCTGCTCTCGAGTGAGGTCGGGGTAGTCTTCGTTGAGGATCATCAACACCGTTCGCTCCTCGTGGTTCCAGACACCGGCCATCTTAGTTGTTGTTTGAGTTTGCTGTCCAGGGTAATGGATTGAGGGTTGTTGTTGATAAGAGCAGGTTGGCGATGTTAACAACGGAAGAGACTGAGACAAACGACCAAACGAAGCATTTGAAGTGCGCGGGAACATTGCCAGTGCGCTTTCGGAGCTAGCGTCAGCTATAGCGGATGACAGCTGAACGCTCATGGTGATCAGGTGGAGAATGAGGTATAGCCAAATGCTGGTATGTGTAGATTCGACTACTCTTGAACTCGTGAAAATGGGTTTTCTGGCTTATTTATGCCTATGCTAGAACTCCAAGCCAGCCGAGCGAACCCGTATACGTGTTTGCTGACTAGTAGTAGACGCTTCAGAGACATGTCTTGATGCAAACACTCTAATCAATCAAGTCACTTACTGAGCGTCCTGAAAGACAATGAAGAGAGAACAATGGCCGATTGTTGAAGTCATTTCACTTGCGATTGCTTTGCCGGCGTGTCTCAGCAGCCTACAACCATGAGATTGTTGTCAAGCCACGGCGCTCAACGAAACGGGAGGTGGCAAAGAGTCAAGCAGGCGTGTTGCAACGATAGGTCGGCGAATGGATGAGGTTGAAATCGCGATCAAGGCGTGGAAGACTGTCTTGGAAGTGGGGTTTTGCAGAGGGAAGCTTTGCTTCGCACATTCCTGCTTTGAGGGAACGATTGAATTGTCGAGATCGGAGGAACGTAGGGTACTTTCTCTTTAAAGGTAGCTCGCAATGTTCTCCATTCGGTCCCCGTTGTCGACGTTTGGAAGACGATGCCTCAAGAAGCCTTGGCAGGTTTCTGCTGAGGTTTACCTGTGACAACAATCAGAGATCGAGGCATTGTACCATATCATTGACTTGATTGTCGCCTTGCAAAAGTTTCAATCTACCTTTGTCAAATTAGCAATTTCGAGCATGGATCCATCTTCAGGAACACACGCTGCCGTCAGAGACTTTGATTGCTCTATTCGAGGACATAGCATTACTTATAGTCTTCGTCCGGTGACCAACACAACGCTTCGCTCCTACAGATCTCAAACTTAGCTTTTATACGCTGACAGAACCAGGCTGATATCCGAGATTCAGATGTATAAGTGTTCAAAATACTTCAGACCCACATCCTCAAGAACTTCCCAGACATAAAGAAAGAAACCGAAGCAGTCAAGTGGCTAGAGTCGGGAGGCGAAGGCATCGACGGCGAGGTTGCTAGCATGTTCTTCCGCGCAATCGATTTCGCCGCACTCTATAGCCTAGAGAGGACCAGGGAGGATAAGAAGAAAGCAAAAGGCAAGACCGCGGGTTTCAGTATTAATGATAGCGAAGACGAGCAGGACGAAGAGAATTAGGAGGAGAATTAGGTAATTAGCGCAGGAATGAGCGAGAGAGACCAGTGGCTCGACGCTGTGAGCATAAGGCTCAAGCGCAAGAAAGCGGATATTGCAAAGGACGCCAACAAGCAGCCGGGTGATGCGTGGACTCAGCGTTACAAATGTGCCAAGGCTGTCGTGCATGCGGTGAATGGGAGAAGTAAAGACACCAGTGACATTGTCGTGAATGCCATTGATGGGTCTGCCGCGAAGAAACGTGACTTCGACGACACATGCGTCTTGGCGCTCCCACTGCTTGCCTTCTTAAAGACCCAACACTTCTTCTTCTTTTTTCTTCTCTTTTCCTTCAAACCACTCCCACGACGACAATTTTCTCAAACACCCCAAAACCGACACAGTCGTCACTCAATTCCCGAGAAAGCGCACCGCGGCGACTGAGTCACCTCACCGCCCCAACCAACAGTGTCTCATCTTGCCCCCGAAGGCAAGCAAGAAGCCCGTAGAGAAAGACCAGCGCAAGGAAGAACAATCAAGAGACATCAGCGCCCACACGCCTGCTCTGGCCGAGGATACTACGCTTTCGACTCTGTCCACCTTCAGTCGCGTTTGCGAAGCGAAGTTCGACCCGCAGATCAGCGCGTGGATGAGATCGCCATCTGCCGCTCACTCCATGAACCGCATCCACAGCCTTGCAGAGGACTCATTTGCTATCACCTCTACAGCAATGCAGGCGCAGGACTTCAACGGCGTAGGAGCTGAGCAGGTAGCGGCTGCAGGACGAAAGGGCGAGTCGAAGAAGCGCGGTAGGGAGGATCACCATGGGGAGGAGGAGAATGGTGAAGATGAAGAAGGCAGGCGTCCGAGAAAGCAGGGAAAGATTTCCGAAGCTGAAGAGACACTTGAGGACAGCGACGAAGACCATGATGTGCCCCTCGCAGTTCGTCGTCCACTGCATAGCGCTCTCGCGGGACATAACCAGGACGACAGCGAGTCCACGATCCCCACTTCAGGCTCGATTCCCGACGGCGTCCTCGAAGTCATCCACGACGAGAAGATCTTCGGCAAGATCCTGGGTTACATGAACCTACAGGAGTGCTTTGGCTTGTTGAATGTCCACCGCGAGTTTGAGCAGTGCAAAGTACTGCGTCAACGTCTCATGCTCGATGATCATCCTCGCAAGCTTGTCACTGCTTCCGTTGCCTCGATATCGGCACCCAGTGCTGGAAAAGATGCGGAAACTGTCCTTGCCGAGCCTGAAGGAGCTGGAAAGGATCCTGCACGAGAGCAAATCGTCCAGCGACCGAGCGGCCTTCTCACCGTGAATAACCTCCCACGCAACTGGACTCGTCTAGTTCGTGGCAACACGCTCCCTGGCAACCACGTCCGCCAGATCAATCCACTCGTCTTCGGTGGACAGGATGCTGTGAAGAACTATATCCACAACTTCCAGTTCTACCCAGCGGCGGAGCGGGCGCAGGTCGATAAGCTCCCCCCTTCGGTGGCGGGCCCGGAGTACCAAATCGACCGACGCGCGGAGGGACTGCCACTCAAGCTGAACGAGAACGGCGATAACATTCAAGAACAACTCTACGAGATGTTCTTCGTCACTCACACGGCGGAGAACTTCCGAAGAGACCCAAAGCATCTCAACTTGGAAGGCCACTGTAAGCAACATTCCACCCTCGCCCAGTCCCTGCTCGTCCAGCCGGCTATCAACGATGTGCAGGTCCTCATCCACGCTATTCGCCATAAGAAGACAGGCGGGATCGACCACGTCTACGGCGAGGAAGCTCACGTCCACAACCACCTGGGCATTCGAATGGGCGACATTTTCCAGAAGGCTGTCGAATGGTCGAAGCGGTACAAGGATAAGGGCGCACGGATTGGACAACACATCAGCTACACGGTGCGCTTTCCGCGGGGCGTTCGGCTGAATATGGCTGGCTACAAGCAGATGGGTACGCCGTTGACGAAGGCGGAGTTTGATGCACTCTGAGGAGCTGGTTCGTAAATTTGGGGGAAAGGGAGTAAGCATGTGGTTAGCAGCTGAGACAACAGCCGTAGTACAATCTTGTATAGACTGAATGACATGACTGAGGCAAATCGTTACCTTTCTCTTTCTTACAAGTCCTGCAAAGCCACAAACTCGGCACATTTTGCCATCTTTCACCGTCCTGTTGCATGTACAGCTTCAGTGAGAACGCTCGAATCTCCCGATAAAGATGACTGCCAACTCCCTCATTTTCGAGAAAGGAGCTCCTGCGTGGGCTGGGATGTCCAAAGACAGGGTGTTCTGAATTTCACCTAAGTTGTTGTAGCACGCATCACCTGGATCTCATAGCGTGTGGCTCTGTCTGGGTATGACGCGCATCTACTGTACCATTCAGAGGTGAATGCTTCGGCATTCATCTCGAGGTCGGCTACGGATAACGCAACGCAGGTTGCGGAGGACTTGCTGTCTGAAAAAGCAAGGCAAAAGATCGGAGACTGGTGAGACAAGGAACAACTTTTCCGCATTCAGATGTATTGGATGTCTGAGTACGACATGATGAGGTCGCATGCTCTGAGCTGGACCGGAAGGAACACACATACTCCAGGAAGGCTTTCGCGCCAGTGAGCTTGACAGGGCACAAACTGACCTCGCCACTTCAATTGAGTATGTTGCAAGAAGTGGTGGTGCCCAGCCTTTACTCCTTGCGTCTGAACCATTGTACCACTTGCGACTCACAAGCAAGCCTCCTCCCTCGTATCCGTGAATGTGAGAGCCGCATTCTCCTTTGACCGCACACCCTGCAGCGGCATCCTACGAACCAACCTTCGGATCTGGCTTTCCTCCTGATCTGAGAGCTTGACATCTCGTGCAGCCCAGTTCTCCTCCAGATACTTGATCCTCTTGGTTCCGGGAATTGGAACTACGTCCTTCCCTTGCTTCAGCAGCCACGCGAGAGCGAGCTGAGATGGAGTGCAGCCTTTTCGGGTGGCGAGTGCTTTGAATTCCTGGATGGTTCTTGCGTTGGCTTCTATGTTATCTTCGCTGAAGCGTGGATAGTGGAAGGATCTGGGGTTGTGTCAGTTCAGTTTTGGCAACAATGGGAATTCTGCTCACCGAATGTCACCCTCGCCGCTCACGCTTTCTCTAGTCGAGAACGAGCCGGTCAACAGACCTCTGCCGAGAGGGGAGTAGCAGATGATTGATGTCCCAGCTTTGCGACAAGTCTTCATGACGTCTTGCACGTCCTCGTCCTCCAGCTCGAACGGCGAGTATTCCTGAAGAGAGAAGAGTCAGCGCACCCGGTTGAAAGGTTTTGGGCGCGACGAACCATCTGCACTGCTGCAACTTTGCCGATTTTACTGGCTCTCCTCAACGCTTTCGAGCTGATCTCAGAGAACCCGATGTGTTTGATCTTGCCTTCTTTCTGCAATTCCACCATGGCTCTCATTGTCTCCTCAATCGGCGTTTCCGGATTACATCGATGCGCGTAGACTGCCATTAACCGTCAGCAATCTGCAATCATCCCTTTCCCTTCAATTGAAATCGCTCGCACAAAGATCAATATAATCCACCTGCATCCTGTCCAACGCTCTCTCACAGGATCTCCTCACATTCTTGCCACTAGAATCCACATCCATGCTGCCTGTCTGCGGGTTCCGGCCGATCCCGAACTTCGTACACAGGAAGACTTTCTCTCTAGCTCCGGATCGCGATGCAAAGAATTGGCGCAGGAGGTCTTCGCTGTCGCCGTATACTTGGGCTGTGTCCCAGAATGTGAGGCCTAGTTCGAGAGCGCGGTCCAGGAATGCGAGGCGCTCCTTGTCTGGTGGCGTGACGCCATATGCAATTGAGAGTGAGGCGAGGCCAAGCCCGATGGTGCCGGTGGGGAAGTTGTTGGTAGCCATGCTTGATGGTGAGGCGGGTATGATGAGTTGAGGTGAAGTTAGAGGTGGAAAACAAGGGACTTTTGTATTCTCGGGGATAGCGTTGTGGCGGGCCGGTCAGCTCTGACGCGGTGTCACGCTTTTGGGATGACGGCGTTCTTCGTTGTGGGGGCTTCAGCTACAGCTGAAGTGCGATGCAGCCAATCGCTTTCACTTGCCAAGACGAAATCTGATCCGAGTATGCGAGTTCGAAGACGGTGCGAATCTCACAGTGTCAAAGCTGCTGAGCACAATGTGGACGCATTACGATATGTTAAGACGGAACTGACGATTGTCTGTTCTCGTACAGCTGTGCAACGAGCGAGTAGAAGGAGGACTATTCTGGACTATTTGCTGGTGTGGTATCTTTTTGGCTCTTACACCTGGCAGGCTCTTGGAATGGCAAGTTGTAAGGGCGATCCTTTCTGCGAGTAAAGTACGACCTTGGTGTTGATCCATCCCGAGCCTCTGTAGTCCACCTTTGTACTGAAAGCTGCGGCCGTTTCTTCAGGCATTCGGCATCTTTCGTATCCTCCCTTCGTTTCCGGGTTGGAATTGGCGTCTCTTCTCGCTCTGGCTCTTCTCTATTTGATACAGGTGCCTTGATCGTGCCTCGCTCTCTCGCTTGGTTGTTCGCTACTATGGTCCGATTTAATCTGCGTATGGCGTCGGATTCTCGAACACCTGCGGTACTTCTGAATCACATGGAATGCCGGTCGGCTGAGCGTACCGAGCCGGCGCTAGATGTGCTTACAAAGACGCAAGTGAAGTGGGTCCGTAAGCGGACAGAGTCAAGCCGGGACTTTGATAGATAAGGGAGGGCCGGTTAAAGGCGGTAAATCCCGGTATAGACAGTTTAGATATCTCTCTAGGTAGGCCTACTAGCTACATATTATATATTATACTACTACCCGATAAGTATATATCTAAGCCGCTAAAGCCCGTATAGGGTAAAGGGGACGTAGGATAGAAGAAGGAATATACTAAGATACCAGCCAATATGGAGCCTGCATGAGTTACACGAGGAACTAGATATACAGTCTTACCAGCTAATTGCTTATTGACCTGGATAGAAGGGGCCACGTGCACTTGATCCACCGATTGAGCTTTATATGTTCTTGCAGCACTTCATCCCACAACCAATCAAATCAGACGGTACGTATCACACAACGAGCGGCAAGCAGCGGCAGCATGGCACAGTGGCGAAAAGGTAAGTGCAGTTTTCTTTTTGCCCTTTAGTCAGACCATGGGTTACTCACCCAATCACTCATTGAGCATCTGATCTCCGCCATGGCAGTCGCTGCCAAGCCATGTATGAGCCTCCGCGCATCTCATTGTGTGACAAACGTTCGGGTATGGCTCAGTTTTGATCCCATGCACCGGGTTTGCTCTTACAGATTGTCCACCGCATTGAATGCTGCCAATGAACCGCGTATCGCGAGTCTCGACCTCCGATCTCCAACATAATGTACTCAAACATTAGAGATCCCGCACCATGCATCGATATTCCTCCACACTGGGCATGTCCGACACATCGGAAGTTACCTTCATTACAGCTTGCACGAGTCCCACCGCCTCAGATAGCACCTCGGAGGTATCCTCTGACCTGTTAGCTACAGGTTGCGCCGAGATCAGGTCCAGCGTACGTCAAGCGCTGGTTACAGGAGATGTTGATCAGCTGAGCAGAGACGTGCCACTACATCAAGCAAGAGACGCCCTTCGAGCTGCAATGGGGAGCCTGCGAGATGCGAAGGATGAGAGCACTACTGCTCTGCGGGACTATGTCGTGTCCGGTGCGAACAAAGAAAGGGAGAAAGTGGAGCTGAGAGGGTTCTCGAATATGTTGGCCCTGAGAGCGCAGGAGAGCGTAAATTTGATGCCTCCCAGAATGCTGCATACTTATATGCTTGGCGTTGTACGAGAGGTTATTTTGTGGAGGGGAGAAACCAGAAAGCTGAAAGATGCTACAATGGCCAAGATGTTGAGAGATCTGGGACTTGAGCACCGAACTAGTCCGTAATATCTTATGGCACATGCTGCTCTTCCCAAATGCGCTCAATTTTTCAGACTCAGACCTGGTTACGCACGTGTGGCAGCTTGATAAGTGTCGAGCCAGCTTGCATTTCCTCTTTCGTCTCTCTCATCCACTCTTCATTGTTTGACTGCCAACATCTTCCTACCAACCCTTTGTTGCGTCCATAGCACAACATTTGGCCTTGAAAGCAGTCGTCAGTGCTGCCCGAAGACCGCAGGACTGTGTTCGACATATGTCTGCAGCCTTGTCTACCACAACTCTTTTCTTCCGGCAATGATTGATCAATTTCCAGCATCTCGCTGTTGATGCAGCCAAACCTCATCATTGCTGGTCCAGGTATTGTAAGAAATTCTTTCTTTAGCACACAGACCGCAAGACCAGCGTTGATAACCTTCAGCTTGCGGACGATGCTCTCGTCGATAGAGTCATCTCCTTCTCGTGGATGGCACTTGCCAATTGTTTTCTATTCTTAGTGAAGGCCCTCGCTCTCCATGTGACTCTTCAGCGTCTCCAGACTGTCGCAGTTGGAGAAACCACAGAGTCTCAGCACAACCACACCCGACTCGGTGCTGAAGAGCGACAGGTTGAAGGCGGAGCAGAAGATTTGGCGGCGTTTAATTTCGCGATTTCGTCCTCCAGCAACGACTCCTTGTACCGGAACCCAATATAAGTCTGACTGGAGCCGAGAGTGAGGAAGCTCCCACGTGCTGCTGAATTCCACCACGGTCTCCAGAACGGCGTTCTCTTGACACCCTTGATTGGGCAGCTCTCGCGCGTCGTCGGGCCCATCGATGGGTAGAGGTACAATCGGTGTTGGAGGCTGTTGAGACCAGTTGATAGCCGGGAGTAGCAATTGGAACTCTAATCAGTCTCGATTCTTGTTCGATCGATTCTCATGCCCGGTACTGGAATTCAAGCTGCTGATGAGCCATGCTCTGCTTACCTTGTGTCCAGTCAGGGTCTCCGACCGTCCAAACATCTCGCACATCTAGCTCCAGCCCGAGAGAATGCCTCTCTCTGCTTTTCGCCGCTGGATCTGTCTCGCTCTCTCGTATGATCACCTTCGGCATCGTCTCCGAGGACGGGGCCGGTGACAGATGGCAATGCTCTTAACGATGGCTTGTTCAGCTTACCTGCCGAGCTTGCTGCGGATGTCGTGCATGCCGTCAATGAACCAGAACACATCTTGTACAGACTTTCCATCTGCCGATCTGCTGGCGATCCGCTCTGGACGCTTCAGAACTACCTTTAGCATCGGCTGGAGAAGGAGTCGTGACCATGCGCTCGAGCGTGCTTCAAGATTTGATGTGCACGGCGGTGGAATCGACGTCTTTTGACTCCTGCTCCTTGCGCTTGGCCTCGAATTGAGAAAGGAGATACGTGCTCGGCCCGTGCAGGGTCATGTACAGGACTGCGGGGGGAGAGTTTCTCGAGCCATATAATCGAGTATCATCATGACGAGCTCTTGCAGGATGCCACCGGTCAGATCTTCCTCGATCAAGATCGCGTTCGAGCCGGTGAGTGCGGTGAGCGCGTCGCGGAGCTCAAGGTACCTGGATGTCTTCGGATCACGGATCTCGACCATGTGTGCTTCGCGACAAATGCAAATCCGATCCCGCTTCGACATGTATAATGTGCTTTGACAATTTTTCGATCCTCCTGTTCCCAGCGGCTCTTAAATCTTGCCGCCGTGCTCATGTTTGCGTGTCGTGGTGATAGCGTGATAGCGGTGGAGTTGCAGAGGTCGAGATGTGCAAATACCTCCGTTTTCGAGGGTTTAGGGGATAGGAAATTATAGCGCCGTCAAATGGGAGACGAAGGGCGCTAGAAAGCCTAGCGTCGCATGTGGAGTGCGGCAATGCACCCGCGGGTTCTTCCATCACCGTGCTTTTCTTCCGAATCACCACTCGACTTTTGCGTTGCTGCTCTGGTCACACTTCCATTGCCCCTGCAGAAATATTGCGCCAACGCAGCTAAATCTGTCCAGGCTATGGAGGTTGGACTCCATCTACGCATCTCAACCCGACTGCAAACGACCGTTCAGCTTTTCGAATTACCCCTGTCAACGAAAGGTATGTGGATCAGAGCGGAGGAAATTGGTTCGTGGCAAAGGGATGGAAAAAGGAGGACGAATGGAACAAGGAGTGGTCTACATGGGCAGGAGTGGGGAACCAGCAAACTATCCTCCTCATATCATTCAGAGATGTAGAACCGGAGAATTTGGAATCAAAGAGCAACACCTACGGCCCAACAGCAGACTGCGAATCGAAACGACCAAGCGATTGCGACTAACAACCGATTTGCCTGCAGAGTAGCCTTGCAAGAAGACTACAGTGAAGAGGAAGCTCTACACTCATCATGTATTTGCGTCTTTGGGGTGTAGCCACACATCATCACCACCGCGAATTCGACTGAGACTCGAAAACTCCGAGGACATTCAACGCAAGCAACAAATCAATCGTAAGCTCTAATCGAAAGGCGGAAGCCTTATCAACGAGACATAACCGCAGGGAGGATGGATAAGATGCAAGTCGCAGGAGTCGGCAGCTCGGGGCTCACCACATGGTTACATCGGTCCGCAGGCTGTCGGAATTCGAACTTCGTTCTTTCTCTCGTTGGACTAGGATGAGGGAGAGACGGGCCAACCTCGTCCACCTTCGCTTTTCCGATCGCTAACATCCTCTACTTGCATCAAAGGATACATCTCGAATCTGCGCTGGGATTGGATAGGGATGGCTACGCTCCTCCAGGAGATAGTCGATCTTCAAGCTATATTCCAAATGACAGAGATCAGCAATCCTGTACAGCGGTCAACTCATTCTAGGATACCTCAGCTACAACCCAGTCAAGATTGGACGAGGGCGCAGCAAAAGCGCTGCGTTAGCTCACTCTCAAGCGGGCCGTGCTCGCCTCCTGGAGATGAGCCCTGTATCAGCAGAGCGTAAACGAACTCACACGCCATCAGCGAAAGTAGCTCGTCATTACCCGTATACACCATCAAGAAAAGCCCAATGCGCTTGCCTCAGTACCACTGGGCGTTAGTAGGCTCAAAGCGACCCAGGTAGTATTTGGAGCACGAAGGCATCGCTATTGCGCGAGGCGTTTCGTCGGTGATGCGCTGCCTCTACCTTGTCCGTGGTGAACACCGCCAAGATGTCACTGCCCGAGTCAGATTACGCCTGTGCTCTACGCTCTTGACCCTGCTTCTCGGCATCCTCCGCGGTGTCCTTTCCTGTATCCACTCCCGCCTTTCCGAATTTATTCTGTGCTTGGTCATTATCCCCCTCTACGCATTCATCAATCACATGTTCCTCGTCGGAGGCCTTGGATAGTATCAGTGATCTCAGCTCGGTAAATGTAGCTGGCGAAGGGCGGCGGCTATTCATTCGGCCGCACAAGTTGGACATGGTGTCGTCCTCATTGCTGGCCTGAGTAGCTACAGCTGTACAGGCGAATTCGACGAGTCATCGATCAAAACGCCCAGGCAACAACATCATGGAGAGGGGAATATGCATCGACTGGAGGAGCAGCTTGTCCATCTGTGACGAAGAGGACAAGAGCCATATAGCACCGATGGCAGCTGGACTCATAAAGGAAAAGGTAGCTTTGCCGGAGAATGGTGAAGCAAACTTGGCGGGCGTGCCTTTGGACTTTGGGGACGTTCGCTTTCCTGTTTGAGTATATACCTTAGCGGTCTTCAAGCATGTTGACCGAAACACCAAGGCTACTAAGAGCGCAAGTAGGCCTAGTATCTTAGCGAATCCAGTGTGCCATAACCTTCGTTGCGCTCGTGGGCTAGTTGCGACAGAACAGATCGCAGTTCTCGACGTCCTGTTCTTTACAGATCACTCCAAGCGTTCCGTCCAACAGTGGCGGTCAAGAGGGAATGAACACTCCGAAGCAGGGAGAGCATTAATCTCTCACCAAGGCACTGGCTCGTTTTGATCTTTCCAGGACTCAGGAGAAGATTTGCGACATGGCGGGAAGGCCGTAATACTTGTGTGTGAGAATCGGTCCTCGTCTCTGACAATTTTCGCGATTCTAGAAGATCAATAGCCGTCAAGATCGTAGGAGAGAAGGATTGCACAAGTAAAATCAAAATCATGATGGATCGCTTTCTCGGTCGGTGAAGAAAAGCTGTCGTGGCTAGTGAGATGAGAGCCGCGATTGCCATACCAAAGCACAAATAGACCTTTCGAGTCTTGAGCAAGCTGATCCTAAGCTTAGTGGAAGAGCCTACGTACAGACAGTAGCCTCCGGGGGCAGTGTGTCGCTCGGCACCGCTGCAGTGTAGCGTAGTCTAACAAAAAGCAATCCGTAATCTTTGTCGCCCTTCGGTAGCTTTTTATGTCGCACGCGTAACCATTCTGCAACGCGGTGCTCACCTTCGAGTCTTTCAAGCGCTCCCCCATTTCATTCATCCCCGTGTACCCATCTGACTTACCCGCGCTCTTGACCTGTGGATGGAGTAGTGCGAGCCTCGCCGTGGAGGCAGGTTGGACAAGCTCGCCCGACCGGACTGTCAAGCCAGGCGGTGATGCACTCCATGCAAAATACATGCCCGCAGCTTGTCTTATGTGGGTCGACCAAGTCTCCCTTGCAGATACCACACAGACCGTAAGCGAGCTGATATAGAACCTTCGGGTCTGCCTCGCTCTCCGTGTTGATAGAGGATACCGTGATACCCGGGCCTCTTGTCATGTTACCAAACGTCAAGCGCGGCATCTGTGGCCTCTGCCTCGGCGGCATGTCCGGTAGTACTGCTGCCGCTAGACCATTCGTGATGTGGGCGGCGTTAGATGCCAATGTAGCGCTACGTGGGTTCTCGGCACGAAGACGAGCGGCCATGGCTTCAAAGTTGGCAATAGCTGCTATAGGATCATTAGTCTTTCTCTTAACTTCGCCGAGACTGAAAGTGAATTTACCTTGGTTGTACCGATCTTCTGTGCTTGTAACAGTCGGATGGTGTTCCGGTGCTGGCGAGTCCGGTTCAGCCGTGCGCCAAGGTGATCCCCGACGCGATACTAGGAAGTTATCCCGTGGATCTCTTGGATGACGTGGGATCTCATTCTCGGATGACGTTTCTAAGGATCGTGCCTGTGCATCCTGGCGTGGCTCCTCCTGCATGTCTCGTAGTACGTTCGGTATGTTGCGGACAGGCGGCGAAAGTGGTCTGCGCCGGACGACCATCGGAACCAGTGCAAGTGGTTCTTGTCTAACATAAGGAGCAGATTGGCGTGTAGTAGATCGGTCTGGTGGCGGCAGACGGCCGTTGCTTGCTTGGTAGGTAAGGACTAACCAGTCGTGAGGTGGCAGGTCGTCGAGGCCCGCGGCAGGGACCCGCATCTTCGAATCTTTGGTCATGTTGTGTGGCACCAGTAGGCGAAGAGGGAGAAGTTGCGCAGGAAAGTTGGAGAGCGGAGGCTGCAGTGGGAATAAGAAGTGAAATTTGTGTTGGTGTTGTTGACGCGACTTGCAGCGTCACGCTTGGCAGGTGGTCTGTGCACATACCCCGGCAGCGCGAGTGAATGTTCGAGCCCCCGAGTCGCGAAGCCAGCAAAAATTCCTCCAAGCATTGCGTTTCCAGATGGTGCCACGCCTCAACATACTCATGCCGTCTAGACCCCTTCGTCATCAAACGAGCGCGTGGTTCCTTGGTAACTGAGTAAGCGATTCGCACGGGGGAAGCTATGGCCGCCATCGAGCAGAAGTTCGGCTTTGGTTCCATCCGTCTAGCGTATTATCTATAGGTGGTGTTCGAAATTAGCGTAGAGAGTAAGAAAGACGACTGTGTATTGCATGCTCTACCTAATGGCTACTGTATAGACCGCATATATAGCTCGTTGCTCTCGGAGACAGTATCTCAAAGCAGACAAGGGAAGTCCGATCTTAGAACATTCTTAGCAATCAACGTCCCAACTCCGAACGATTAGCAATCCAACCGTGTGCTAGAACCTTCTGATAGGTGGAACTCACGGAGCAGAGAATCATCGAATGAACTGCGTAGGCAGACGATGTAATTGTTTCATACAAATCTTGTATCACGTTTCGTTGACCCTCTGATACGATATGATACCATGGAAGATGAGTACTCTATACAAAATTGGAACCGCGGAGTCTCGCGTGCGGCGGCGAGGCACTTGATCTGGCATGCTTCTTCTCTGGGTCGTAGACAGCGTTGGGTTGAGCTCACAACGTCGATGACACGCCTCGTTATGATGCGATAGTTGGGTCATTTAACCAGCTGATACCAGTAGTGTCCGTTGCGCTCGCCCCGATATAGTCAATGCCGTTGCGGCTGACTTCGCTCAGCGCTGGCAGGTGGCGGCAGGATAGCCGATGCCATGGAATCGTTCGAATCCTTTGAGCCAGCACCATGCGAGTACCTTTCCCGGTGTCGCCCATGCTCGTCACAGACCCGCTCAAACTGTTCCCAGTCCAAAGGCCGAGGCGGTGGCCGGCAAGCCTCTCGTCCTTTGCTCCTCGGACGCCAGACTGCAGCTAGCTCCGCCGTGAAGTCCCGGAATTCCTTCTGTACTTGAGCAACGTTCTCCGCACGGATGATGTCCTCTCCTTCGCAGACGTCCTCCGAGCTGACGCTGCCGTATTGTAGATCCTGTGTGGTGACTTCGACGTCTTCTCTTTTCACGAAGCCCTTTTCCTTGCTCAATTGCTGCTCGCCGTACTCTTCGCTATGGTCTACGATCTTGCCGTGAGCGCCGTACGGATAGCTGTGCTCTCCCTGAAGCTGCATGTCTCCGAATTCGAAGGTGTCCAACGGTCGAACAGCTTCCTGAGGCAGTGGAGGACCGAAGATGAGACTGCGCCGGGTTGTGGTATAGAGGAGGACATCCACCCAGCCGTTGGATGTGAGAAAGAAACCAGCGACGGCAAGCTCAGTTACGCCGACCTTGCGCCCAGCCATGATTCCCAGACGGGCGACAACGATGGGCAGGGTGCAGATAACGTAAGCAATGGGATAGGCGATGACAGTTCTCGCAGCGTTCATAGCCCGGTCGCGTAGTTCTTGGTCGTCTGAAGCCCATAGCGCTGTACGGACCCGCCGCCAAATGACAATGAACATCATCGAGTAGAGCAATATAGTACCAAACTCGGTGGTAAGGACCCACAAGTAGTGGAACCAGATCCGCTCGTGCATGTACTTTTCGTTAATCCAACACCTGAGTGGCAAATGTCAGCCGTGCACCGTATCGTCGTGCTGTCGTGAGGAAGTTTGTACTTACCACATGCCCGCCCGTTTGTAAAAATCGTGAGGATGTGTTGCCAAGCCGATTGATGCCAGAGAGAAATTCAACGTCCAAAGGCCGATGACTGTTCCGAGAAAAGGTATATATCTAAGCCGTCGATCGAGTACAACATCACAAAAGAGATGGACTGCCATTGCGAGGGTGAAGAAACAGCTTCCCACATCGCCAGCGTTGATGAACCAAGCTTGAGTCACACATGCCGGAGAGCCAGCGATGATACCATCAACATGCAACTGGGATGAGATATGAGCTTGGAACATATTTGATCTGTTTTGTGTTCGGCGAGATCTTACCCAGTGTGCGCTCAGCGAGAATGCGATTGCTTGCATCAAGTCCGCGAGGACGAGATTGATCAAGATTGCCATATATTGATTGACGTGTGCATATCCGCGTTGCTTCCATGATATGAGTCGATAGGAAAGGTACGTAAATAAGCCAGCCGTTGAGAAGAGCGAGGTGAAAGCCGTAAAAGAGATCGCTGTCATGGCTTTGCGGTATTCATTGGAGAGCGGAGACAGGGTCGCTGTTGGGTCAGACTCGTGGGACGCCATTGAGTTGGCGTAGTAGAAGTGGCGTGGTCACAAATGGACGGAGTATGTGTTTGAATGATTTGGAATCACATCTGGCGACGAAGAAACCATCGTCAGAGCAGGATAAGACGCATGCTTGCGGTCGGTGGGCGCAATGGGTTAAAGGCGAGGGAAGAGCGGACCTCTTTCCCAATTTCGACATGCTCCTCCAAGGAGAAGGCTTGATTCTGCTAGTCATTAACGATAAAGTATCTTAGGGGTTGGCTTGAGAGGGGTATCGAAGATGGTACTTGAGAGAGGCTCAATGTCAACGGAGGGGGGTACGGAGAAGGGAGGTGTTGTGGCCGGCGTATCCCTTGTGCTAAGCTGTCAGCTCCCTGTACGATAATTTCTCCAAGGTTTCGTGAAGTCGTTCGTCACGTTCATCGACTAGCATCTTGGACCTGGACCTTCCCACTGACCAGCGTCTCGGATCTGCAACTTGTCATACATAATTTCTGATAGAGGAGCGTTGTAGAAACAAAAATGAGAAGACCTGCACAACAGAGGCAAATAGTCTCAGTTGATCGACGATATGGTCCGTCGCCGTCCTGCCGCGCACCATGAGAGACGACGAGCGAGTACGACGATTGGGCGTCAAGAGATTATGCGGGGACAAGCCAGGTCATCCCAGTCGTGTTGCTAAGGAGAGTATTCCCAGCCGTGGTCAGGGTATAAATTCAGGAACAGCTTTGCTGCAAGGATGTCTGGGCTGACCAACCTGCAGGCAATTAAAAATAAAAGTACGTAAATTCTTCCCTCCAGCAGAGCAGAACCGACAGTATGAGATGGGAGTCCCTGAAAGTAAGACTTGTCCGAGTGACCGATGGTGAAGCAACTGCGAGGGAGTCGTGCTCTCCATCGGATGCTCGGTTAAGCATGTCTCCGTATAGATTCAGTCGAGGAATAAATCCGACCGGTGCAGTAACGCGATCATCTCACTGCTCGCGGCTGCAAGATGATGTGCCTCTCTTGGAACATACCGGTCAACGGTACCGACCTATGTACGGGATGACCTAGACAAAACAGCCGGACAGATGATTAGAGGATGCGACATGGCGACAAAACCATCTCATGCGATGACCTGCCTGTTAGAGCTCTAGCTCCAGTAACCTGGACTCGCTCTGACTCAAGTAGAACATGATAGGGACTGACTAAACACTCTGTCTAGACCCGGCCAACCTAATGTCCATTTCCGAAAGCCGTAGGCTGCTGACCAATCGATACTTCGAGACCAACATCGCCCTATGCAAGCACCCCACGTGCACTCTGACGTACACGCCCAGAAGTCTTGATTGGAACAAGCACTGACAGAGAGCCTGCAGGGCATCTTGCACTCCATAACACATTCACAAGGATGCGCAACCGTGTGCAAGCCCTGATGCTAGCTGGGTACGACTGATAGCTCAGAACATCGCACGGAGGTCAAGGCACCGCCCGTTTGAGCCCGCTTGCTCGTTCCTACGCATTCTCTACTGTCTTCATTTAGGTCATTCATCCATTTTCTTGCCTTTTCGACGACCCAACCTCTCGCTGTCACCCTCTCAAGAAGGACAGAAGGGTCTTTACTGTACAGCCGAAAACTTCACGTCCAACAGCTGCTTGGCAGCGCTGGAAGATCTTCGAGGTGACCTGAAATCTCGTACGCAGACAAAGGGAGTGCCATGGCCTCACAGCCAGTGGCCTGGCTATTCTGGCCTGAGCAGAACGCAGAGCGAGAGAGCCTGTGTTGGATCTCATACACCTGGCAGCGGAGTCTCTCATGGCCGTCTCAGCGGAGTCTCTCATGGCCGTCTCAGTCTCTTCGCCGACATCGGAAAGTATCTCGAAGATCTGTTTGGAACCCTTCTCCAAAAAGCTCCAACGACCATTTTGCCCCGTACTCTGTCTTCATATTGCTTGTACTGATCACTGCAACTACCAGGGTCGAAACTGGCGAATGCTTCGAAGATTAGCCTTTGGCCCTAAAGTAATGTACAATGTTCTTGTGCAGAACGAGTACAGCGAGACATGAGCTCGGCTGAACTCGGAAGAAGTGGCATCGACGATAAAGTATAGATAGCATCGCTTGAGAACTATGTGCTCTTCGGGACTCTGACAGAGAGCATTCTCATGCCTGTATTTGCGTTTGACGCTCGCTAGACCGCGTCCCGGGATTCTGATAACAGCCTCCCACTCACAGTCCGCGACTCTGAGGTCTCGACCATTTGATATAAAGCCAGCGGTGATGGGCCTTACTAAATTTTCTTGCGAAGATTCTACGAGCTCCAGTGAGTTGGCATTGTAACTCGCAACGTCGAACCGAGGTTGATCCGATTTTGCTTGGGGTCTTACGGAGGTCAGATGAACGTCTGCTGGAAAAATGCAGCCCTCTCGCTCGTACCTCGTTTGGTTCTCAGGGAATGCGTGGAAGCATATCTGTACCTGAATGTTGCGGGAAAATGCGTACCGATCGAAAGCATGCTGACGCCGCGACAGGCTGGCGCACTGACCGTGTTGCCGCATCTCGATTGGAGAAGTTAAGAATAGAACGGGACAAATGGGGGTTGTAGGCTTCATTTGGGGGAGTCCAAAGGGTTTGTAGCGCCAGAAGGCGCTGCAGTACGCGACTGCGGCATTCCCATGATCGTTGTGCTGATCGCCGAGGATCTCGAATCGCTTCGCTGCATCTTCCTCCGACCGTCATCCTCGATATCATGTAGATCCTCTTCACTCTCCATCATGGTTGCTCCCGCTCGTCGGAGGATGTTCATCGCGTAAGATGACATACTGCGGCTCGAAATCATTCGCGGACAGGAGGGGCCAACGCCAGATTTCTGAGCTCCGACGGTGATCATTGTGCCAGTATGCTCCCTTCGCCTGATTTCTCGCATATGTTCAACAGCTCACCGGCAACTCCAATGACTGCACGTATAGTGGCGGGCCAGCGCAGAATAGCTACAGCCACTGCAAATTTGCGCAACTCCGAACATATGCCTCTCGCACGAAGACTGCTCTTCGCTCCCAAGGAGATTTTGCCCTGTGGCACATATCCATGACAATTAGAACGGGCGACCTCGAACGAAGGTGGAGCTTGGCCGTGGAGTATTGGCTTCGAATCTTGATCTTGTGGCAACGGTCTTCGTCGGGCCTCTCGGTTGTGTCGAAGATGTGTCTGAGGCAGACTCTGCACCGAGGATAGTCTTGCGAGCGAGCGAGCGTAGGCGTGAATGTTGTATTATGGACGAGCATCGTGTGCTCTGCTGGAGGAGACCATTTCCTTTCTCAGCCATGCCAGAAGGTTCTGATGCCGTGGAGACGAATGTGAGAGTCACGCGATGGAACGGTAGTAGGACTTTACCTGGTCTGCATCAAAGTTTGTGTCGTGTTCGAAGGTTCTAGCAAACCTTGGAATTGCTGAGAAGGCGTTGAAATCGTGCTTACCTTCGTTGTCTGCTCTGAAACGGCTTCGAAATACGCACTCTGTCTCCTAGATCAACGGCCTATATATACGGTCTCTACATTCGCCATTAGTTAGAGCATGCAATATAAAGTCGTCTACGCTACTCCATACCTTACTTTCCAATATGCCGGTGTCCACGAACTCATTCACTCGCGTTGAGTATGCCTGGAGGAACCCACCCACGCAAGCGATGATAATCTCCGGCTTGCAGTCCCCAGTGGCTTTAGTATCCGCGAAGTGCTTGAAGTAATCGACCAAATTCCAGTTTCTCTGGCACCGTCCAGCTTCCTCGGAAACGGTCCACCGGGATCCATGCTGAAGAGCTGTCAAGGTATCGCGGTAGTCACCGGCCAGCCTACTTGTGCCTTGGAGGCACTGGATGCTTCTTTGAATATATTCATACGTATCACTTGCCTTGATCCTCTGTTGAAGAGATACGGAACGAGCAAAATGTCTCGAGGCGAGAGGAAAAGGAAAACTCTGCTGTGTCAAACACCGCTTCCGCGACGGACTGTGCCATTGTTCTGCGGGCGTTCCGCTTTCCTTGCATCGAAACTCTTCGTCCGAAAGCGATGCTGGATACTCTGGATGGAGTTGATTTCGCTCTATCTTTTGACATCGGAAACGGGATTCGGAAAATCATTCAAGCTAAAGGTGTTAGCGCTTTTCCCCGTGAATGGCCCGTGCGCGTGACTGAACAAATCGCTTCACGGCCGCGCTGGACAAAATGCCCTCTCACTTCACCGTCGAAGAATCGAAATCCTTTTCCTCTCCACTCTGAGGATACTCTGCACGAACCGCACAATCTTCTGCTTTCCAGAGTACTCAAATTGCCGAACGGAGATGGAGAAGATGAACAACGCGCGCCACAACATGCCCAAGTATCGAGGACCACAGATTGCAAAGACAGGGACGCGCCGGGCATTTGAGGATCAGGACAGAGAATATACGCTTCAGACAGATCTCGAAGTCTTCCAATACGAGAGATGGGGCGGTTGCGTTGTCGAAATCAGAGCCAGGTTCTACGAGAAGTCGGAGGGCGACGACGATAACGCCAAGGAAGAAGAGTGCATGGGATACCTCACTTGCTTCACAGTCGACAAGAGACATGGATTTGGAAGTCCTGCAGGCCCAACATGGCAAAAACACCTCCTTCAGCGCCCCTCGCCATATCCTTACAATCCATTCGAGCACACCACAGACGACAACGACCCACTTGAGGACATGCAGAAAGTCTTGCAGCTCTTGTATACGACAGAGGGATCTATACGCATGGATGTTCAGACTCATGAGGACATACTGCACGGCGATACAATCCACTACATCCACACGTTTCACATGCGTGAAGACCATTGGGGTACAGGAATCGCCCGCGTCTGCATGAAGAGCTTCCTCGACATTTTAAGCTCAATACAGAACGAGTCTTGCCTCCACGTGCCCGTGGTCCTCTCACCTGCGGGGCTCACGAACGTGTGGGAGAAAGTTGCGGAAGAGTGCAGAGCAGATGGAGCGGAGCCGCCTAATCTCTTAGACGTCAAGAATAAGCTGAAGAGCGGGTACAAGAAAGACGGCTTTGAGATAATATGGGCAGGACATCCATCCTTTCAAGAGAGAGCCATAACGGTGATGGGACAAAGCATTACTCGTCGCACTGCACTGCCGCGGGAGCAAGCTTCACAGTTTGCTGAGACTAGACCAAATCTCCCAGCCATCCCCGTAGGTGATGCACCCTCTGTGCCAATGCAGCGGTCCGACGTAGAGCGGTATCATCTCTGGGTACCGAGAGGGAACGAAAGAAAGGTCGCTCCTGTCCCAAGTGCCGGTGCAGTACTCAGGCGATCAAAGCGCCTTGTCAAGAAAGCAGATCTCGCCTCTCAGATGAGTGGGGAGCATACGAGAGAGCCTTGGAGTGGTGGCAAGGCGAAGAGATCTCCCCCACCGCAGACCAGTGACCCGGGCTCTTTGGAAGCGATTCCGTATCACCTGGAAACCAATGCAGCAGGAGAAGCGGTGGTAGTGTACAAGCCAAACGCCATTCAATATGCACAGATGAGAAACGCAACCGGGACAGCATTCTCGGGCGACTTCGAAGCGGCTCAGCAGACAGGACAGCTCACACTCCCCACCGGTGCTTCACAAGACACTCCGTTTCGGATTGTCAAGCCACCGGAATCGCATGACCGTGCTTTGCGAGGTGGTTTGAGCAGGAGGCAATTCAAGCGAATGAAGCGCGCAGCACAGGCAGAGGGAAAGCGTTAACATCCGTGCGGAAGATGAGCGACGAGCTGAAGAAATAGAGGAAAGCCGAAGTACTCCGGATCGATCAATGAAGAATGTAGTTGGACTACTGATTGTACGGAGAAAGCTTGCTGATTCCGAACTCCTAGAAATAGCTTCCGGCTCTCGGTCTAGTGTACAGAAACATGGCTGCCACGCTGATCTCTGAGTCAAGATCAATGCAAGCATAGATATTGTCTTGAAACAGAGGTAGCTTTACCGCCATCGACAGATAAGCTGCTCGACTGTGTGCGCCGAGCAAGCACGCGATTGCAATCGGTGACCGTTCCGATTGATCAAGCATGACGACTGTATATATGGGAACGGGGGACGATACAAGTGGTCTGCGCATATGGCTTTGTGAGACGCCACAAGCCAGATACCAGATGCTAGATCTCAGTACCTATACCGCAGCTTACATCTTCCAGCTCTCAAATCTGCGCGGACGACTAATTCTACAAAGTATACACGTCAATTTTCTTGAACAATATCCGCTCTTTGATGGAGTCAAGAAGTGGCCTGAATTAGCCGATCCCTTCCAGCTTTTCTTGAAGATACACTGTTCTCCGAAAGACAGGACAGAACTTCAGTGACTCCACTCCGTCTAACTATGGACCCCATTGGCTTCGTCTAACAAAGACTGCGCTCAAGCGCGGAGACGTCGGCTTTCACGATTCTGCTCTCAAAAAGGCAGTATGGTAACAATACCATTGTCGTGTGTTGTCGCGAGGTCAATGGGACGTGACGAGTAGCCGTCCTACGCGTGACGATTGACAACACATAGCGCCTTATAATGTGCTTCAGAATCATCCCATCGGCATCATGAAACTTCTTGGAGGGAATCTGACATTCGAACTGTCTTCTCTCTCCGTTAGTGAGCTGATTCACGATCTACAGACATGGGGATCCTTCGAATGCTTCCAGACGGGCGAAAGGCTCCACTCAAAACCCAAAGCACGCACAACAAGACCTTACCGTCGTCTGGTAACAGCGTGTCTGAATTGACGACGGCAATGCCCCGTGTCGCCGATGACATTCAGAATATCACCTACAAAGGCGAGCCCGTCAAGTTCTGCACTGCAATACATGCATCTAATCCTTCGGACTCATGCAGCACGACTCTGAGTGTCACTCTCGGCTTGGCTCTCGAGAGTGACAGGCGTCTACAGAACGATTTGAGGGTTGGCTGCCTGGAAGCCTATATCATCGACAGGACCTACCGTCATGAAGGCTCTGCGAGCCCTGACTGAATATCTCGATCCCTCGAATTCCCAAAAGGCTACAAAGTTGACAGTCGATTGCACGCCTGCGCGACAGAGGAAGAGAATGGGGTGACCGAGACCAAGAAGTGCCTTCGAAATGTGTATAATGCCAAGGGTGAACCAAGATTGGACGCCAAAGACCTCGATTCCGACATCATCAACTTTGTGTCGTACTTCGAAATCTTCTCCGATTTTCGTGGCGGACAAGGCTTTGCGCAGACGGCCATGAAGGGCTTCTTCGAAGCGATGAAGAAGCTACCGGCACACTTTGGCCGATCCAACCTCTTGATCCTGTCTCCTGCTCCGATCGTGTCGGCGACGGAAGAGAAGGGTGGAGACCTCACCAAGATAAGCAACAAGGAGTGGCAAGACATTTTGGAGAAGATCATCGCATCGTACGAAAAGTCTGGGTTCAAGCTGTGGAAACGCGGTGCCGTGGATCGCAAATGGACCATCTCTGTTATGGGTTCGTGCTTCCTGTTGGACAACAGCCGACCGCCTCTGCACTTCAACGACTCCAGGCATTGGACCGAGCTATCCGAGCGAAAAAGCTTGAATCGCCAGTAACCACAGGAGCTCAGTCACCATCTTCAAGGTCCAAGCCAGCTCCCATGTACCCTGAACGGCTTGCATCCAGAGCCGGGCAGCTCTTCAAACGTCCCTTGACATCACAGACACCATCTTTGAAGCGTGGAAGATCTTCAGGGAACTCAGACGACGTCCGGCCTCTCCTCAGCAAGGTCGATGATCTAAGAGATTCTCGGAGGGGCTTAGGACATGAGTCAAGAGTTGCCAGCGAGATACAACAGGTCGAGCCAAGAACACCGAGGAAAATTCAACCAGCTACTTCTAGTCGTAATCGCAACCTGCCTGCTTCCAACCGCCTTGGCTCACGAGATAGACCAATAGTCTTGGATGAGTCCGACGACGAGGTCGCATAGGCTCACAGAAAGCATCGTCCAATGCCAGCAGCCGACTGGAGTGCGCTACGGCGCTTCGTTGACGGCGAGGAGGAATGACCGGGCGTTCGAACTGTACCGGCTATCGTATTTGCAGCGAAGAGGCTCAAAGTCGTTTTACATACTTTTAGCTGGAATTGAAAGGAACAACGCATTGATAGAGCATCTTTGACGGCGGAGTTGGCAGGTTTAGTGCCGTCTGGTGGAAGATGGCCATGTGACAGACGCATATGCTTGTTTGGTCGTTGCAGTCCTGAGTCGCCTGGACGAGCTCCACCGGCTATATCAGCCGAACTAGAACATGCCACTGCTTATACTTGCAAACTCATGATGTCTTTCGTTTCGAAACAGCCCTCTGAACACCAATCTTAGAGCATCAACTTTCAAGCCCTTGCAGTTTTGTGACGTCTTTGTCGCGGTGCTTTTTCATCCCCATCATGTTCTGCCTTCAAATTCATTTTCATCTTGCGATTGCTCTTCTCAAATCCAGCCCAAGTTCAATTCCGCTCGGATCCCAGGAAACCTGGCGCGGTTTTGATTTTAGCAAAGTTTACTGCCTGCCCCTTCTCTTAATACAAACTTTCCAAGATGCCCGCGGTCAGCGGACGGGATCGCCCACGGCACACACCAAGAGCATTTCCAGCGCGCGAGCGCCGTTGCAGCGGTCGTTTCTGTCGTGTTGAGATTATATCTGCCACTCGCATCTCTCTACCCTATCGGGAATCCGTGCAGTGTGGGTAAGCTTCTGGCTCGTCCGACATTGGTGCGCCCGGAATGGGAGTCTATTTTAACATCACCTCCATCTCATGCGCTAATGTACGTCCCTCTCGCAGGATAAGAAGATTCGACGGGGCAGGTTTGATATTTCAAGAACCCACACTAAGGCAACACGCTAGACGTTCGGGCGTTGCTGGCTCGGGCACCTGTAATGGTGCGAATTAGTGATGAGAGGCATGGAATGTAGCTCCGTCAGTGGGCGCAATCCTGCCAAAGTCTCCAAAGGGTAACTGGTAGATCCCAGATTTTGTGAGGCGTTTGAAGAGCCGTCAGGGCGATGTACCGATCTAGAGCACCGGCGACAGTCATTTGCTTTCGTTGTGGAAACACCGGAAGCTCACTGAAAAAAGTGCTCGGGACGGGTTCGGCCAACATATAACGTCTCTTCGCAGGCGTTGTGTGAGCTCAGAATGCTTGACAGTTGAAATGATACAGCCCATATTGGTGCATGTCTCTTGTCGGTAGGCCCATCAAGATAGTAGTAGTCGTTCGGGACCATCTCTCGGACATTTGTGTTCGAAGGTGTGGCGAGAAGCAGAGGTGGTGTCGCATTGAGTCCAAACGTACAGTAAAGAGGAGGCAGTGATTGCTACCCTTCTCTCTTCAGCTCACCTATGCATTTGGAGTCTAGCACATGTGTCTGTTTTGCCGCCGAGAGCGTACTCCAGTCCAGCAGCCAGGAAAATCGACCAGAAGATCCAGTATCTATGTGTCTAGCACCCGGAGACAGGATATCGCTTCACCCCAGAAAAACGATCGAGAGCAATCCTAAGACTTCGTTGTAGGAATGCTGGTGTTCTGGCGTGATGAAATTTGTAGTCTGGACTCTCCAATCTCGTGAATACTACCGATTGGTTATCACTGACGACCAGGTGGTGGCAATCAGCTGCAATCGCATTCGTCTCGAGGGCGAATTGCATTCGCATGATGTCGGATATGTCCTCTGAACTTGAAATGCTTGTATGAAATTGAAGATGCATTAACAAACACGGGATGTGATGTTTTGATCGAGCGCAGGTCGGAAAGCCGTCTGGGCCCGGGAATCGAGATTCAAAGGCGGAGATGTTGGATTCGTGCGGTGATAGCTTCCAGCGCTCGTAGATGCTGCCTTTCCAGTTGCACGTGTGCCGTTGACGGTATGGTTGATGTCGATAGGGGCTGATGGTGTGATTTTACGAGGACATGACCTCTGCACTCTTGCAACCAGGCAACCTACTGGTGAAGGCACCCAGTGACGACTAGTTTGGGCCGTGCAATCGAATTCCCGTCTCAGACCTCGAAAGGCTATTTTTCTCTCTTGAAATGGATGATCGGGACCCATGTACGACCGATGTATTGCATGAAGGATCTTTCTGCCGAGGGTTGGGACTCCAGAGGCCGCTGTTGAGGGGAAAAGAATACGCAAGACATTGGCATGATGGGTAGTCTAGGCGGTGTGGCTCATGGACGGTGGGGAGGCGCAAAGAGCCCATCTGTCGAGTCGCGAGCGCAATCAGCAGCCTCCGTCGCCGCTGACCTGGCTGTAGCATCGACTCTTCGCATTGAATTGAAACTGCCCGCGCGACCGCCCAGTGCTCCAGACAGAAATCCAGGCAAAAGCATGGGGCGCGTCCAATGCCCAACAGCTTCGCCTACCGTATGCACCTGTAGCCCGAGACCGACCGAGCTCACCATTCATTCGCGCCCTGTACTCGTGAGTCCAACCGTCGGAGATGTAGTAAGCAGAAACGTGCCGTCGGAAGAATTCGCGCGCCGGTCATCGAATACTTGGTGAGGTGGAAGCACAAAGGCCTTCAGAAAGATTGCTAGTAACGCAAGCAGAGACTGCCAAGCAATCTTACACGCTGCTAGCGCTGAAAAAACATACGGCTGACAGTCATATGCAAGCGGCAACACCCGCACTAAGCGAGCATCTCGTGCACCGTGCACGTATTGAAATGCGGCTCCGTCTTATTTCAGTTCTACAACAATGAAACTGACTACAAGATTCCAACAACCAGTACCTACCGCGACAGACACGTCTGATATTCAGCTATTACTACACCACAACCAGCATACCACGACAACTCCACGAAGCACCAATATGGACCGCGACATCGAGGAAGCAGTGAAAGGCCAGGTCCGCACCTTTAAAAGACTCGTCACGGCCAATCACACCCACCTTCTCGCCGGCTCAGAGACCAGCGCCCTGTCAACAACCCCCACCTGAGCAAGACCAATACCAATGACACCTTGTCTCCAAATTACCGACAATGGATGTGCCATCCAGACACCCTGTGGTACGCAAGTAGGGAATGAACTTCTGATCTACTGACTATGCTACTATGCCCCTCAGCGCCAGGACTCCAGGTGTCAGGGCTGTAGAACGACGAGCCGGCGGCGGCAGCTGATGGTGAGGAAACAGTGCTTCGATCAATGCTCGATTAGATTCTTTCGCACCAAGCAGCCACTTCAGCTCAATACATTCGTCCACCAAGAAGCGGAGTCCACGCCAACGATAAGTCGCTTCGCAGCGAATGAGACGTGCAAGTACGGTCCGGTCAGGCTTCGATGGGTCTTGCGCGGAGACCGCAGTAGAACGGAACGTCGGCGGAGGATATACGTCGTGATCACTGTCGTCACTGTCATTCAGCAGGACCCGCTCTGGGGATGCGTTGCAGAGGTGTTGAGCGATGCTGGGATGATCATCGTCAAGTTCCATCATGGCGACAAGCTCTTCGTCGACATCGTGCTCTCGGACAACGCTATCCATATCGTCGTCCATCTCCCAGTCGTCATCCGGGCCATACGAAATGTCCGCAAATGGATCCAAGACTTGGCCCATGATGGCCATGTCGCCACCTTCTGCAGTAGCGTCAACTTTGAGCCAAAGCTTGTATTTAGACTTCCTGTACCCATTAATCAGTAAGTTTTGCACCTGACTGTGAGCGTATACATGCTCACCCGTATTAGCTCTAGATTGGCATAACCGCTGCCAGATCTCACTGACCCCGGCAGCGGAGAGAACCACAGTGCCGTGCAAGTCATCGCCGTTTGAAAGTCGTCGAAGAGCGGAGAAATATGTCTTCATTGCCAGAGGACCGAGACCTTGACCAATGAAGGCATCGTTGAGAATGAAGAAGGATACATAGTGGATCTTGCGCCCAGTCAAGTCAGCTTTGAATGACTCGAACTCCTCACGAACACTACCATTCTGATCGAACATCAGCTGAAAGATACGTTGCGTGTCGTCGATCCTGGCTCCCAGTGCCGCGTGGAAACGGTGCGGTACCTTCTGCCGCGCAGAGAACTCCAGTAACTCGGTAAGCCAAGAAAGAGACCCCGTGACGCTCATTGTCGTCTTGTCCAGTGTGTAGGCTGAGATATAGCCCAGGTGCCGGTCGATCAAGGTCTCGTCTCGAATCCAGAAGTCGGCGTCAACGGCTCGGAGGCATGAGAACTTCTCATCTGGCCTGACATCGATCCGTACCGAAATAGTAGTGTTGTGTCCAGCACGGTCGAAGGTCATCTGGTGGGTACTTGTTCCAGCCAAGTCGCAGTTGGTATGCTTGCTTCCCAACATGATGAGACCTGGGCAAACTGGACTCCTCGTGTCTACTAGACTCCTCGAAAAACACGCAAAAGACAAGGCGATTGTCGATATTTTGTATGCGATCGAAGGGTGTCTTGTCAAAGCATGGGACAAGACCATTGTTGACATTGCAGACAAAGGCGATCCGACACATTCAAGGACGAGAACAAAGCACGATTTCCCCTTGAATACATGAAAGGGTCGATCACAATGCCTTGTTCAACAACACTGGCACAAAGACGTGACGCAAATCCAAACGGCAGGAGAACGCGGCACCGGGAACACTTCGACTAATATGGATCCGAGACTGCAAGTTCTCGAGCAGTTATTAGCCATAGAAGCGACAAAGGCTTGTGCATGAATGGAAAGCATGAGCTGGATCGTTCAACTGGTCATGAGCGTTGCATCGCCTGGTGGTGGCAGTAGGCGGGAATAGACGAATCTCTTTTCGTTCCTCTTTGACAAACATATTGAACAGAACGAAGCGAGTACACCCTTTAAAGGGCTCTGAGATGTTAATGAAGGTGAGAGCAAGATTCGATAAGAGAAGAAAGCGTCAGATCGTTTGCTGTGAAATTTTCCCCACTCGCTACATTTAGGCGAACGTAGGAGTTTAAAAGGCTCAAGATTTGTGAGATGTAACCCTGGACGGCGTACTGGTGCCAGAACGGAAGTTCTCTGTGCAAGTTCTCGCCTCTACACACAGCCCCATAATCCTCTATATCCCGGCAGGGGAAAGGCTGTGAAAGATTCACTCGATCCCGCCAAGCCGCTAGTGCTTCACTAGCGGCCGACATTTCTCCGTCCGCCGCCGCAAATCCTGTTCCCTCCCTGTGAGTTCTTCAAGTTCCTTCTCCATATCAATCACTCTTCGAAACACACCAAGATGCCTCCCAATGGCACAGAGCTGACCTGCCGCGGCGTGATTGATGCCGCAGCCCCGAACAGCTTCGAGAAGATGGCGGCTCACTTCACCGCCGCGCAGCAAGCTCTGGAGGCCGTTAAGAAAGGCCAGGTGAGCTTCGGCACCAAATTTAGTGTCGTCGACGCTGCTAGGAAGTTCGCGGGATGGCTGGGAAACCTAGGTACGAGGACGATGCAGTCATGATAAGCAGGAAGATGAGATGCTCATAATTGTTCAGACCTCAATCCGACTCGTCGTGTATTCCTTTTGGAAGACCCAAAACATGGGCAGTTAAAGCCCATCACCGAGCGGATCTGGGCGCCGCTGATCGCCCTCCGGAACGAGTACCTGGAGTCGCAACACTCCGACGACGATGTCAGTATTTGATCTTAGTTGCTTTGAGAGAGCGAAGCTGACGATAAAACAGCAAACGTTGATCGAGTCGAATTGCTTGCCTCTCCGCGTCGAGCAGGCGCTGAATGCGACCTGCGACGCCATCAACAAGATTCCAGGAGAGGGAGAGACTTGCGTGTGCAACCAGCACGCGGATCGTCCACTGTTGGAGGGATGGGAGGCTTTCACGGCCCGCCAGGATTAGGTGCAAGGCAACGAAGTAGATTGGAAACGATCCTAAAATACGACTGGTAAGGACGGACGTATATCTGGCTCTGTACCCTTCACATTCACCACTGCCATGACTGCTCCCGCATACTATCCTACCACACTTTTCGTTAGCTGAGGCCCTCTACCCAGGCTTCGATTTCAGCCGCTGCATTAAACGTCTCGCCTTGTAACGTGACTTGTTCGGGGACAGAACCACCAAAGCCCCTGCGCTGAACTCACTTCAACTTCTGATTCGACGTGGGAGCTGCGACTTCGAGTGGCACGTCTCAAGAGCTGATATACTGGAGCATTATACAGGTGGACTCTAGCTGTCTTGTTGGCTTCGTTGCCTGGGACAATGGATGGGCCCGCTCTCAACAACAGTCAGCGTCCAGCTTCAAGTTCGACTTTCAATGCAAGTCCCTCATCATCACTTTTCTTCCGTTGACTTCGGACACCCACATTCCAACAACACTATCGCAGGACACAAGCGCATCATGGAGAGCGGCAACGCCCCAAAGACTCCAAACGCAGACAAGATATGATCTTTGCCCTTTATCCGAACATCAGCACTAGCTAAACTTCGAGCCAGCGGATAGCCACTGCCGACCCTCCCAGAGAAGGAACCCGACGTAGAAGCACAAGTCATCCTCAAAGAATGTCCAAGATCACGCAGATGCTGGACGCTGTTCTCCTGCACCACCCAATGAGGCTGCTCTTCCTCATGCAGTGCGTTTCCGAAACACGGCGGGACACAATCGCGGACTCCCCGGAACTTTAGTAATGCATGCATCTCCGTCAAACAGCAGACCGCATACTACATAGACAACAGTATTAGCTTCCTTGATGCGTTTCTTATTCGATACGCTTGGTAACGTCGGCATCGATCCAGCGGCGCATTCTGTTCGTCCTGATACACTTTTGGGTCCGCGAATCGCGCCAAGACCCATAGCTCAGGCTCACAAGACATTCTAGCTGACGTCTACACAACCCCAACACGGCTCACCACAGTTGATCAGGACGCATCTGAAAAGAATGGTTCATGCCAAGTGGCCCCCGCAAATGCCTCGTGGCGCAACATGTTCCTCACTCCGCCTCCCCTAACGAGCGTCGGACTACTCGCGATAGTCTCTGCTCCGAGAACACGCTCAAGAACGCCTCAGAGTTGAAGTGCAAATCCCTCGACGAGCAGCTTAGAAGTCTTGTCATAACCACCAGGGAAGACTTGGCAAGACGCTGGGCATCAGCGTATCATTGAGCAATGTAAGGATCACAAGGACTGGAATGATGTCTGTGGCTATCTGTGGATGCTGACGACCACCCGATGACAAGGCACGATGACTATGGCACATCACGGGCAATGAAAGAGCTGGAGGGGTTGGACTATCGCGGGCATGAGAAGAGTCAGGCTCTTGAAGAAGGCTGGAGAGGACCCGCGGCGGGACATTAGGCACATCAAGGCTTCATTTGCACTGCATATCAAGTCTGAACGAATCGCGTTCGGAACATTTTGCTTGCAGCACATTATGGAGCGCTAGACTTTAGGTCTACAACGCGATGTCGCGACCTGGCCCAAGAGATCCAGTCCTTCTTTTCCTCCCATCTAGCGGTTACCTCGACGTTTCATCTTCATTGTGTATTAACGCTATTGGGCTCGCTGCAGGGCCGAGTTCAGGTCGAGCCGTGGGTCCAAGAATATCCAAGTCCTCCGTGAGAGAGTACTGTCGATACGCGTCAGATACCTGTTCGGCCGCTCCACCTTCGAAAGCGACAGCTTTCTTCTGGGATATAGCGATTCACGCTTGATTTGGACGCTAAAACATAAAACGCTATGCTTCTATTCAACCATCGATCACTGCGTTCTTGAAAAGAAAGATCTCGTCCGCACTCACTCTAACTCGTGATCCCATACTGCGCACAGTCAGACTGGAAGCGACAACCATGGGATATCCTGTGCTCTTACTTCCCCGCAAGCTTCATCGGTACTCAGACTTGTCAGGGAGGGCGACGGGGTTCTTCGTCTCGTGCTCGTTCAGAATTCCGTTCTTGATGCGCTCGCTTAGCTCCCGGTCGGTATGGTGGTAGAAGAGGACCGGGTCGAGATGATCGAGCATCCACATCTGCAGGAGAAGTTGGTCAGAACCTGCTCAAGTGTCTCACGAGTAGCGGCCGACTGTGAATTACCTTTCGAATGGACTCGCCAGCGCTCTGGTCCAGATCTGGTAAACCGCGAACTCCCTCTGCAATGTATTGCGAGATATACTCGGTCATGATAGCAAGCTCATGCTTGAGCAACGGCTTCATATCCGCGCGAGCGACGACCACGTCTCCTACGACCGAGTCCACCGAGAATTTGCCAAAGTTCCCACTCTTCTCGTCGACGTCGATCATGAAGAGATGCGACTGCGAGTTGTAATCATTGCGGCGAGAGTCCGGAGTGGAAGCTGCGCGTGCGAACTTGAGTGGGAATCCAAGACGGACGGAGATCTCAGAGGTCTTCCACTGGGTATTTTCGGCCAGCTTTGAAGGGAGAGAGATACTCCGCAGTCGGCAGAGTGTTCCGTTGTAGCTGGTAGGGTAGGTCTCTGTTGTTGGTAGTGTGGATGGAGCCCGCTCTGTGGTGTTCGCGATGATGACGATGCATTTTATTTGGTCGCCTGGCTCAACCGCTGGGAACGGCGGAGCAGGCGTGGAGGTCGTCTTTGTTTCGAGGCCAAGGACGCGCTGGGCCTTTTCGGAGATGGATTGCATCATGTTGATGGTGATGTAGACGGGACTCCCTTTTGTGGTGGTTCCAAGGTTCGTAGTTGAGTGCAGTCGTTGTTAAGAATAAGTAAGAGGAAGTAAATGTTTACGTGAGAAAATCGTCACATGGCCGCCAAGACTTTCAAGCTCCAGCGCGCGACGCGACTTGCGTAATTCACCGCTTCGATCCGTCCAATCTCAACTGTCACGCGTGCCTCTATCTCAAGAAACGCCATTCACTTCCACGCCGTCGCCCAGCGTGTCTCGTCTAGCTTCGGTATATCGCGCAGAGACCGTAGTCGAACTCAAGAACCGCCACAAGGGCCTGCATGCTCTCCTTTGGGAGGCTTCAATGCCATGCCACCGGAGCTCCTATATCCCCAGCGGCGATCCTCATCTGCTCGAGAGCATCATAGCTGAGCTACTCATGAAGGTCATCGGCGTCTTAGCCGATAGCGACTGGCCTCTTCATTTTTCAGGGCCTGCAGTTCAACCACCTACTCACGCTCACCCACGTCCGAAGCCAGCTCTTCGATTCAGCGTTGGAAGCCATGCCCATCAGGAAATCAGCCTCTGCAAGATTCAATCTGCATCATCCACGGCTCGGATTGGCATGGATCAGGCACACGGACGGGAATTGATGCAAGTTTGGAGCGGTGGCGACAGCAGATCTTCTCGCCGGCGCGGCAGCGGCTGCAGCAGCTTAAGTCCAGTGTACAGCCGGTCGGCTGCTGTTGTCTTCTTTCCTCACCTCCATAGCACCAACACCAGCTGCGAGAGACGGGCATCATGCATGGTAATTGGAAGGGGGCCTGAGATATCCCTTGAGCTGGAGGTCATTTGACATGCATCCATTCAGATCCAAGCCATCGGGCCGCCGCAAATCAAACTGTGTATCAACCCGATACCCCCTCGGAGTACCAAGATGCCAGCTTTCTCATTCTCAACTACACATCCTTCCACAACCAGCCCCCGACGAAAAAGCACGGAGCAAGCGGAGAAAGGTTAACAGAAAGCCGAGAAAAGAGATCGAGACATTGAGTACAGAAGGTCAGAGAAGAAGGCTATGAGAGAAGGGCATGATGAGCTATCTCCTTCTCAGACCCACCCCAGAGCGACTATCTCTCCGGTTCCCGAAGATACTTCAGCGGAGCCTATGCTGAGCGAGAAAGATGCGGAGCACACTGCGGCCTTAGCCAGCTTGCTGGAAGCGAAGCAATAGATAGCTGGAAGGGTATTGGAATAATGAGCAACATCAGCTCCAAGGTGATCTCGCGCGGAAGGAGAAAAGGATTAGAGGCGCGAACAAGGAAACGATATATGCTGAGTAGGGAGTATGCGCAGCATACTGCCGCCTTGTTTCAGCGAGAAAGCTTGGTTGAAAGTAAGGGACAGCTGGAGTAGCAGTGGAAGAATGGGAAAGATTATCTCCAATGTGATCTTGTCTGGGTCGAAGAAGAGCCTGGCGCAACGCTGGATCCAATCCACACTTGCGGAAAAGAATGCTACACATACTGCTATCCTATTCAGTCCAGAGATCGATCGAGGAACCTGCGGCTGTGGGATTCGGGCTTGCTCGGCTACCGCGCTTGAGTCTTGACTTGAGAGGTAAATGATAGAGCGCCGATGGGAAGGGGACGGCCGCTGAGAGGATAGTCACAACATCTGGAGTCGATGGGCCTGATATCAGGCTTATCAACAAAGCAACCAGAGATCTTCAAATGATCTCAGCCGACATGGAGAAGCGCGACGTAAAACCAGCTCGTCAAGTGTTGGGACGATCCTCCTTCGCAGCTTTTCCTTCCAGATGTCCTGGACACTTTCACTGGCACCCGCGGTACGATAGTATCAGTGTTAGATATCGTTATATCCGTATGATTCCACGAAGACAGGAGGTCCTGGTCCAAGACCACCACAAAGGCTAGGTTCCGCCTCAGTGAGCACCGGAGATCTTTCAGGAGACGCGTCTCGAGACGTCGCATATTCGACTCCGAGGGAAGACTACAGCCCTCGTGTTGAGTCTACTCGCTGAGCATCCGACGATACAGATCGAATTGCTGGTTCGACATCGCTAGAGTGGCGGTCAAATTTGCGTTGGTGGTCTTGGAAGAGGTTGAACGACGAAGACAAAGATCGAAAGTATGGCAATCAGGAAGAGCTCTCAGGGCAGTGTGAGACCCACCCGGGAGGAAATGATGCTGCTCCGGTTGACATACTGGTATCCACCGAGCATAGTACAATTGAGAAAGGCACGTGAGGTTGTGGCGCGAGTCTACAGGCGATGAGACTCGTACGGACTGGAGAGTCGCGCAGCGAGTCAGAGGACAAAACGTGCTGGTTGTGTGTGGCTTTGTCCGATTTCCCCTGCGTTGCTACCGTCAGACAGCAACAGTTTGTCTAGTTATATGAGCACTTAGACATTACCAAAGAAGCCTTGCACAGGGATCTCGTTTGCGGTTTGCCGCATCTCTATACAGTTGAGTTCATGATTGCTACAGCGATAGAGGCATCTGGTAAGCTCTATAAGGCTGGCATTTTTAGGATTCAATGGATACACTTCGCACACTTTTCCTATACAGCTTTCAATGTATTATTCTCTTGTATAATACTACAGCCACCGTTATATGTCCAACCACCAACTCTTACGTATATATAGTAAGCGGCTAAGTTCTCACCCGGTCGGATTTCAGGTATCCTTTATAAAGCCACACCAAAGTCGGCGCGGATTGTTCTCACTTCTCAGGCGCGCTACAAAGACCTATTCTACTACCCGACAACAGATCTAACCGAATGCGGATAGCGTGGGTAGAGTGAAGTTACGAAGCAGCGCGCCTGAGGACACGTGAGGAGCTAGGGTTCTGCCGCGGATTAGCCGGTCCTTTCCAGTCATAAATTCACGCTCCTCGTCAAAGAATCTCCAACACATCATTTTCTTCCGCACTTCTGACCAGACCCCTGATACTTCCGACCATACCACTGCTCGCAAAGATGTCGTTCTACGAAAGCAAGTCTCTCCTGCAACTCCGCACCCGCCACGCCGCAATTCTCCGCCTATTGGAAAAGAAGGACGTCCACATCTCCTCGCAGGACAGGCAGCCCGCCGTCCGGAATCTCCTCTCCGCCGATGATACCGACGAAAAGATCGCCTGCGGGCACAAACTTCACCGCCTCGTTGCCATCGCTGGAAAGCATGGCATAGAGATACCTCCCGGGCTCCTGGCGCCGCTCAAAGACCAGGAGAAGCTCAGCTCCCTACCAGAGGAGCTTCTTACAAATATCATCGAGCAAGTCATCTTGGCGCGCTGGCGTCGCGAACTTCCTGCCGACGTGAACGAGGACGACTTGGCGGAGTGGGAAGCCGATGTTCTGCGACCTTTCTTCTCAACTCGCAGCGGAAAGAAGACGGCAAATGCGCCCAGTGGCAAGGAAGAAGAAGATTCTGCGGAGACGAAGAGATCGCGCCTAAGCCTCTTCCGAATCGCGCTGCCGGCCTTCGTGGACCATCTCCTCCTCTCAGCCGATTTTGATGGCGAAGACAGGATCGATGAGGAGATCGAGGATGACGAGGAGGATGGGGACTTCATAGATCTCCAAGATACCATCAACGACTGGGCCGTTATGCATCCCTCTCGACTGCGGAAGAACGTCAAGCACGTCGAGATATGGGTCATCTTGGGAGGATTCGATCGGGACATCGACAGCAGCAATGCCGTCTACCAGCCAGAGCAGCACCGTCGCAGAGTTGAAGCAGCAAGCCAACTTCTCCCACTGCTTCCGAGTATTTTCCCCAAGATGAGGGACCTGAACATCACATTCTACATCTCCTCCAAAGAAGTCGACCGTCCCGCCAAGCCCTTCGAGCAGCCGTTGAGGCTTCACAGAGACGACACGGTACTCCTGCCAACCGAGAGACAGATCAAGCAGGACTTGGTGAGGCTGGTACAACAAGTACGCAACTTGGAAGTGTCAAAGAAGACGGTCTCGCTGCGAGTACACTCCGACACGCCAGTTGTCACGGAAGAAGAGGATCGCAGGGGAAAGACACGAGAGAGCGCCGAGGAGATTGTGGATATGATGGCGAAACAGAAAGAAGGGCACAAGTACGAGTTCGAATTACTTGCCGAGAAGAGCGAACAGGAAATTGCCGATGAGAAGGCGCGGGAAGAGGCTGCAGCCCAGATGGAGTGGGAGGGAGACATGGAGATTGATGAGATCGTATGATAAATGAGATGCGTTGATACCAGCGACATCTGCATGAAATGAAGTCTCGTCGTTTGAATCCAACGAGACAGTAACAGTTGTTCAGGTTTGCCTACAACTTGCATACTTCTGAGAGGTCGCGCTCCTCGCTGTCACTGCCATTGTACCGTTGCACAAACTGTCCTCATCCACGTCGCTGTGGGTCCCTGTCTTCTCAAACTCCTCCAGATGCTGCAAGATCTTTCAGCCCTCCCATATGATCCAACGTACACCAAGAAATCCAATTGATCCCTAAAAATTCCATCTGGAAAGGAAATGCTCCCTTCAGAATCCATATCTTGAGAACTTCACTGTCCTCCTACCTCATCTTGATTACCTCCTCCCTCGATAGTCAGAAAATCAATCCCCTGCCGAAGCAATAATTGGTAAGCGGCGAAGTGAGTGTCACAATAACGGCCTGTGAAGTGCGAGAAAGAGACATCCTATAGATCTATCCTCGTGGATGGTCTCAAGACGCATGCTTGGAAAAGAGGCGTGAAGGGCTATTTGATAGTTGGATAAAGAGGATATTACTAGAAGAATAATAGACGATAAATAGAAAAGAAGTTGCGGCAACAGCTCTTAAGCGTTTCTTAATGCTCCCCTAGCGTAAACGTAGAAGATCGAAGTCGCCCCAATCCCTATCTCCGTCCGTGCACTTTAAAGCTTTATAGAGCATATTTATCGCTTCGCCTTCAATATCAAGCACGTGCTCCGAGCACTAAAGTCCACCACGGTGGTACGGTGGCGCAATCGGTGAATACACAGGTACGTCTTTCCCTCTACATTTCCCCCTAACTTTGTGGCAGCGGCAACGGCAATGGCAGTGGCAACAGTGGCTTAGGTAAGTATTCACCTCTCTTTAGTAGATAGAAAACAATGACCCTACCGAGCAATCGGTTAGGCGAGTCTCGGACGTCCTCCCCAGTTGGGAGGGCGTAAGAGTTTTGTTCGAATTATACAGAAAATCGAATCTATCATTTTTTTTAATGTTCAATGAACGATGCTCTTCTCAATCCTTTTTGAAATGCCGCGGTGCGCAACTGTAGATGATTCGACGGAAGCGGCAGTGCATCAAACATTTTTCGCTCGCGTCGTTGCATGGCCAGCGCCCTGCGTCTGACTTCGAGCTCGTTTCATTTTGATGGCTGGTAAAACGTGTCAAGAGTTCAAATACATGCATAGGGCTAGGAGAATGCCCCCTACGAAGACGAAAATACCTTGTTTTGATCCCGCGACGGTATGTTACTCTGCCAGCTTTACGAGACGTCTGCCTTACACCTTCATGGTACTCATCAACTGACGAGCTCCTTTCCAACACTACCAGCGCGACTGCAGAATCTTACTCACGACGAACATCCTCCATGGACCGAGCGCTCACAGAGGTTATCGGAGGCCCTTGGCGCATGCCTCGAAAACTCACAGTTCACGTCGCCGACCGTGGCGCGCAACACAGACGCGTCGAGTCTGAAGACTCTGAACGAAAACAACTTCCTGTTCTGCCTACTCGCGCCGCCGGTGACAACTTGAACACTGCACCAATCCTCATTCGCGGGAACTAGTCGCGTCAGCTTCAACCCATGTTGTCAAGCCGACAACATGATCAACATCTCGACAGCAAGTTAACGCGCCCACGAGTATTGAGAGGTTTCAATCGCTTCGGGCTCGCCATCCACACCTCGTCACCGGCAGCTCACCGCGGCGGCTTTTCGAATTTGGATCTCGCGCGACTAGCTCGTATGGCTCTTCGTCGCCCAGTCAAGACCGCCCGGGGTGATGAAGCAACCATATCAGGAGACAGGACAAAAAGAGCTGTGATGGGATAGCAAGGTCATGCTCATGCTTTGGTGGGCACTCGATCAGTTGCTGAGTTGGCGGAGGAAGAAGCTGATGGATGCCGATAACAGAACTCACCATCAAGTGATACCGTATACGGCAGACATGTACGCTCGAAGCCCCGTGCACGACTTCATGGGAATCATGGCGAAAAGATGGACATCAAGACTGAAGCAGTTCTACTAATCTCGCACCATACTCGAGACTGAGCTTATAAATCAATCGGTGCGAAGGTAGTGACGCATCCGACACCCAAGAGACAGATATCAGGTTCGCTCTACGAAATATGGCGAGAAAGCCGCGGTATCATAACGAGGACCTGCTTCCTCATACCCCCGAGCGATGCCACAAGAGCTCACGCAGACCGCGGTCTAGAAATCACCACCGCCAAGGCCTACCCTACCAGACGACACTGCATCGTACGAGCAAGCATCGCCGATGAGACCACCCTTCGGCACATCACTCGATTCGCCGCTTAGGTCCAGCCACAACATATCCAGCCCTCGGCACTGGCGCCGCGAGCTTGTCGACCGATGACCACGCGACAGCGACACTCTCAGGCCCGCGAAGACATTGGATGTGCAATTACGCCGCTTCCGATGGTGTGGGTAGTCTCCTCTTCGAAACGAGCGCCGGAAAGCCCCCCGGGAATGGAAACGAGCCAGGCGTGACATTGCACACATCAACGAAGTCTTCAGGAACGTGTGATCATCATATCCACGTGCGAAGATGAAGGCAAGAGAGCAGTCGTCATGACGGTTAAGCGAGACAGTGAACTGATAGCGAGCTATTTGGCAAGAGACGGGAGGCAGGAGGCAGGAGGCGCGGGGATATACAAGCAAATCAAGGCGAGCCAGCAGGCAGCAGCAATGATGAAGCACGACGCGCAGTTGTCTGAGCGGAAGGGCTTGGTGCGAGAGGCTGCTCTTCAGGGGCTCCAGTGTCTCAAGATGGACAAGATCAAATGAGCAGGCAAAGACGAACCGTAAGATGACACGAACGCTGCTATCAGAACTCAACTGGCGACCAGCAAAGGTCATCTGCAGAATTCAAGTCGCAGGAGCATCTGCAGCGAAAGCCTCCAAGGCAGCGGAAGAAGAAACGAGATCGGGCTGAATTGCTCGCAAAGCTATTGTCCCGGCTTCCGATTCTAGACAAGTTTCAAGGAGGCGAAACAAACTATCGTGATCAGCAAGAAGAGTCAAAGACACGACCACAGCGGCCGCACGGGACTGTTCATGGGCTCGGTCGACCAATGCCAATGCCTGATACAGTCCGCAGTAGACAACGATGCTGCTCAGGCTGTGGGAAACGACGGCAGCACTGAACGGTTGACGCCACCCAGGTCGATTCAGCATTATGGCATAGCTGTTGGTAGTAACCGAAAATTGCATCTGCAGGCAAAGCACGCGAGCGCCTGGGAAATTGAGATCGATATATCCCCGAGCACAGCTGCCACGTAGCTTGCCCTTCGTGCAGTACTAGTGGCGGATGCGAGCAATCGCACACGCCACCGAAGATTTTCGACGCTCATGGTATGGAGCCCAGCGAGTGGATCGAAAAGCCATCGCTGGGCAGTCCAATCCGATCCACTGTTCTTCTGCGAGCGGTATTCTCCACCTCGAACATAGTAGCGAAGCCTCTCGTCTTGCAACCTTTGACATCCAAAAGCAGTGGCCACTCACTCCTCCCGAGTGATGGTGACCCAGCTGCGGAGCTCCATATACCAGGCTATCGTACCAGTGCTCAAACGATGATAGTCGGCAACATAAATCAGCATTGATTGGCAAACGGCCCCTCTCACCCGAGCAATTCAAGGTAGATAGCTTCCACCCAGCAACCGCCATCTTTCGCTTGTTCAATACTGCCGAAAGCCGAATCGATGAAGCATGGCCGGCCACAGATCCGCGCACGTAAGGCTCGGTGTCAAGACAAGCATCGATTTCCATGGTGCCGTCTTGCAGAAACACTGTGGAGGGGGGGTTTACATACTGCCAAGGCCGGGAAACTCTCCAAACCGTATCGATGGCGAAACTATCGAGAACATCGTCAACCACAATGACGAACATCGAATTTGCTTGATGTCGACGAGACTTCTCATTCCGTATGCATGACGACTACCGGGCCCATGCATATTTTATAACACCACCGCGGCAAGCACCACCTCGCACGGTGCACCCGCGAGCGCCGTATTGGAACTAAATAATCATCTCGCGGCCGGTCTCCGGGCGCTCATTTAGCAAGGGAATTGCCACCACGTCCATTCTAGAATCAATGATCAGTCTCGGGAGAGTCAAGATCGGATACATTGGACAAATCTAAGCTGGGTGGTTGGTACTCCGTACCGCCGGTTCCCGCGAGTAAGAGGAAAAATCAGGTGGGAAGTCCGATTCCACTGCTGGTATTGTAGCGGCGTTCTGGATGTACAAAGCAGCAGCCTTGAACCGATGTCCCCGATCTCAAGCCAAGATCGCGAGGGTCACGGTATGAGTTTACAAAACCTGATCTGAAGGAGTCTTCTCGCTCTTCCAGAAAGGTGAGGAATAGGAGCACTAAGGCCGCGGAGCTGCAGCCTGCCTTTGAGACGCGGAGGGAAAGTTACACGATAAGAACATACATTTAAGGGTTGGGATGCAGCTGTATCTGCACGTGAGTCTCGCCGCAATCATGCTCTAATCCTCATTAATGAACTCTGGGCCGTGACTGCCCTCGATTGCTAATCTTGACGGTTCACGGTTCATGAATTATTTCGAATTCGCATTCCAAATCTAGCGCAAAGGCGTATCTCAAAACATCCGAGGCGCTCCAACCATCTTCGAGACACAGCACTACGGGCATCCCTTCTCCTTTAACCACGTCGACAGATTTGAAATCCTAACAAAACGCTTCGTAGGAGGTACCTTAATGATCGGAAGGAAGATCTTTCTTCCATGATCCATCATGCAGCATGACGTCCGCGAAAAGCGGAGATGGCCTCATCTTCGACCTCACCTCTTCATCTTCATCCTGCTTCGACAACGGGTTGACTGTCGGCTGGAAAGAAGAGATAATCACAACCTGCTCAGTCGGCTTGATCGGATGCGCTTCGGAATAAGAGCCCAAGGAGCTGATACTCTGATCAGCGAAAGAACAACCCGTTGGAACTTGGCTGTTACCTACCTTCAGGATATATCGGTCACATAGCCATCTCAACGCTCTAGAGACCGCTCAGAAAATCCCTATGTTTTCCATCTTCAACCCCCCAAGCGCCACTCCTCCCCCTCAACCCCCATCAAAAGTGCTCCGCATCCTCATCACAGGCTCCCACGAGGGCATCGGCCTCCAGACCGCCCGCCGCCTCATCACCTCCGGGCATTCCGTAACCCTGCACGCGCCCGACGAAACCCGCGCATCCGCGCTCCACGCCGCGTGTCCCGGAGCCGAAGAAATCCTCATCGCGGACCTGCGTAATCTCAGCGAAATGAAAAAACTCGCGGGGGAAGCGAACGAGAAAGGCGCCTACGACGCCGTGCTGCACGACGCGGGGATCAATTTCTCCTCCGAAACGACGAGCGAGGGCGTCAGCGATGTGTTTGCGGTTAATACCCTCGCGCCGTACGTTTTGACGTGTTTGATGGAGAAGCCGAGGGGGAGGATGTTGTATATGGCCCGCGAGAGTCAATATTCCAGCGCCGGCGGCGAGGCAGAGCATTCGGATTCCAGTGGGAAGTTACATGCGAGTATGCTCGCGCCGGCTCTCGCGCGGAGGTTTCCGGACGTGCAGGTCGTGGGTGTGGATCCGCAGTGGGTGTGGAGGGAGATGGGGAGCAGTTTTGCGTTTGATAGTCTGCGGAGGCCGGTGAGGATGTTGGCGGAATGGGCGGTTGAGGAGGGGAAGTGGGGGCGGGTGAAGGGGGGGAATTTCTTTGCGACGGAGGAGAAGGGACGGGTTGGGGCTGAGAATGAGAGGGAGGAGAAGGAGGAGGTGGAGAAGCAGGAGGCGTTGTTGAGGATCTGTAGGGAGGTGAGTGGTGTTGCGGTGCCCGGGGAGTAGCTTCTTTGTGTCAGTAAGCTTTCGTGTCTCTCGGTGCATCCGACTCGCTCCGCCTTCTGAACCAAAACGGCTCCTCAGAAAGATGTACGATCCCTCTTCCAACCCCAGCATCCCGCCAAGCCACCAGCGCATTCAGCACAAGAGACAAACCAGCTACTCGTGAAGGACCCTTGATATTCCATCTCCGATGCATTACAGACTCCAAGTTGTGTAAGAAGCGGTACTTGAGGCCTTCGTCAGCTCGAGGTTCCGAAAGACGGATCTTTCTGTTGATTTGGTGCTGGAGGGAGGAAAGAGGAGAGCTTAGACGGGAGATAAGAGGTGCAGGGCTGAAGAAGGGAGCTGAGTGGCTCTAGAGCGACAAGAGCCGCCCTTCGTCATGGTGATGAGTTTGGTGGGTGGTGGCTTGGGAACAACGGCGTGATTTGGTGAGGGTGCGCGGTTCGAACCACTTCGCTGCGGTGACTTTCAGAATGTTGAAGACGCCATGGATATGCCATGTTATGAACACGATTGTATGCGCATTCTGATCTCCGATCCAGTGTTTCTTCGGATTCCAAGCCTTTCCGCGGGCAAGCTGGAAGTGTTCGTTGCGGACGTAGACCGAGATCGGTGTGATGCTGCTGCCTCGAGGATGGTACGATTGGTGCGGGAGATGTCGACAAGCGGATCGCGGCGCTGGCATCCAGTCGGGTCGATCACGATGGAGCGCGTCGCTGGCAAGAGAGGCGAGAGGTTGAGAACTGTGTTCAGGAGTAGCTAAGTAAGAGGTTAGAATGACAAGAAAGTGGAGTATGAGCTCCTCAGCATACCGCTCGTGACCGCAAGATCGTCTGCGCTGATCTGCAAGTCTCGCGACGACAACGTCAACTCTACACACGGAGAAGACGATAGAAGGAATACGGTAAGAGAATCCACAAGATAGTATCAAACAAATCAAATTCAATCGTATCGGAAAGTGTAGAACACTGTGAAAAAATGTACGGCTCCGAAATTCCAAGCAAAAAAGAGAAGAAATGTCCACGCGCGGATATGCCTCTGACGAGACTCAAACCAGCAGTCACATTCCACCCAGAACTCTCGCAAAGGGCCGTTGTGTGTTTGCTCTCCGAACAGGTAACGCCCCACGTCCTGGGCCTCTGCACGTGGGGTACTCAGCTGTTCGGGTTACCAGGCGGACCGGAAAAAGTCGGACTCGCTGGGCGTTGTCTTGTTGAAGTTGTGATTCACAGGGCTGCTGCTGAGGAAAGAGGGGAGGAAGGAGAGAGAGAAGGATTTTGAAGTTGGGGAGAAGATATAGGCGGGGAGAGGGGCGCTAGGGCGGGGCGGTCCGTTGTTGCTGCCTGAGGGCGGTGTAGTGTTCATCGGTGTGCGTGAGGAAGTGACGACAGGAGACGCGTCGCGGTACACAGCTAGAGGGAAGGAGCAACCTGAAGGCGATGATCATATATGTACTCGAACGTGTAGGCCCGCGCGACCACGTGATGATCATGTGCATGCGCGACCGAGATGATGGAGACGATGATCACGGGCGCTGGGGAGGAGAAAACCGTATACCGAGAGCTATCTACTCCACTCCCAACCCTCCCAAAACCCGCGACGAAGAAATGTACGGTTCCAAATCTAAGCACCGTCACGGCTCCCATCAACACCAGTCTCTCCCACGAGAAGTCGGCCGGGAACAAACCATGAGCAACACAAGGACCGCTAAGGATTTCAATTTCCGACACTTTCCGCACAGTCGCACTCAATGTCGCCGGAGTTCTAGACATCGAGTATGTTCAGTGTGTTGTCGTGTGTCGGCAGCACCAGGACCCTTGATTCACAGGTCGCGCTATCTGCTGCGAGGTTGCATCGGTGATGCGTGAGGAAGGAAAGAAGAAGAAGAAGGGGAAGTTTGGTCGAGCTGGAGCGGAGGAAGTCGATGTTTGGACCCTGGAGCGGCAGGGAGCGGGCGCTAAGGGCGGGCTGGGCCGCGCGTGTCATGTGACTTCTGACTCGCGTT